AAACCCGAGGTCCTCGCCCCCAGTTTAAAACTAATGTGAGAGTGAAAATTTTTAAAACAAACCACAAAAAAACAGTCTTTACCCAGAACATGCAAACCACAGTTAACTAATTAATTATCATTTTTTGATTAAACCTGTCCGTGCTCTGTCCTTTTGCCCCGTCCTGTTTTTGTTTGGGGGGCCCCCTGGGCCCTTGCCATTGGTTCTTGTTCTGGGGCATGTGGGGGTTTCGTTCATTTAAAGCCGCCTTTTTCCTTTGGGTTTACTTGTTTTTTCATTATTAGAGCGTTTGGGGCCCGCCAACATGAACTCAAGTTAATAGATTTCTATATTTCCCCCAGTTTTAAATTAAAGGTTTGTAGCTAAAAACATGAATTCAAGTTTAAAAGATTTCTATGTTTTTTGGGAAAAAAAATTTGGGAAAATATTGAAACATAAAAGGAAAAAATAAGGAAAAATTTTTTTAGATATTATGGGTCCCAATTTGGGAAAAATGTTCATGTTAAACTTGGGAAAAATAGTTTTCCCCAATTTTAAAAATTTTTAAATTAAAAAGTTAATTGGACATGACACATATTGTATGCTAAATAATCAACAGAACATTGCTTTACACCGCAAATGATCTGGGTTTTTATCTAGCGCAAGTGATTATTCCATAAAATAGAAAAATATTGCCAAATTATCCCTGTTGAATAGACTGCCAAAAATACAACTGCGTCGTATCATATTTTATTTTCAACTGCGTCGTATCATTTCGTAAAAATCATTATTTTCTTAGAAAATAAACATCTCTTTATAATAAAATTTTAGTAAATGATGCAAAATTATATTTCGAAGTTTATGGTGAACTCTGAAACAAATATATATTTGATTTGAAGGAAAAAAACGATAGATAAAGCAATATGAACTGCGTCGTATCCACACATTTTCATAAAAATTCTGCTCCGCTTCGAGTTGCAAGTTCGCTATAACTTTTGTTTTACAAAATAGTTGTGCAAGCAACATATACCGAACGAAGCGGAAAATAGTGTAGCGTGTTAATACATATATCTTGTTTTCAGTCATTTCAAACAAAAAGAGTTATAAACAAAAACATACGGTTTTCGTTCCAAGATGGCGGCGTTTGTTTACATTTTGTAGGATACGACGCAGTTTTGATTCCCAGCCCTGGAATTAATGATATTGGTGTTCGGATTTATTTTCTTAGTTTGACCATTTTCTATCATTCTAGATAGTTTTCAAAACAAAATTCAACAAAAAAGTTGTTTGTATTTATCAGATTTTTCAAACAAAATGGCGAAAGAAGTCCCTTAAAATAAATATGAGTTTTGACTCCGCCCACTTTCATATTTATATTTCATATTTATTTTTAAAAAATATGAAGTATATTTGACTGATATAGCACCATGTTTCATGGGTAAAATTAAATAAATGTATATATTTTAGTTAGTAAGCTATATATTTTTGTTCAATTTGTAAATTATACTGTAAGTACGCTATGTTAAAACTATGAAAACAAATAAAATATTCGAATCTACTCAGCAAAATATCTGCTTATTTGTATTACAAGATTTACTATAAACTGTTGACTATAAATTGCATGTGATTTAAAAAGTATGTAGAAGTTTTGTTTTTGTCTTATGTTACGTTGCGTTACGTTACATTCCGTTATATTATATTTTGTTTGTTATGAACGCACAATTATTATACATGTATATGTATTTTGCTACTGCTACTGCTGTGCTACTGCCAAGTTTACGTTTTATAAGTTTGCTACTGCATCTACTGCTACTGCTAAGTGATATTATTAATATTTTAGCATCAGAATATCATTTTTAATTGGCGCCATCCTATTCTATTCAATCTACTTTAATGTAAGAAACCAGTTATTTGGAAATAACCACATCTGATATCTTTGCATATATCTTCGAATCAGTGTATATATCAACATAAAAATGCTACTCTTGTTTATTTACATGCTTCTCAGAAAAAATGAATTTTCACCATGTTTATACTTGCATATTTGAAATTGTTGTTCGGTGTTTGCCCATATAAATTTCATTTACATGTACATTGACCAAAGGTCTGTACTGCTGATTTGCAGGGGGGGGGGACCCGATTAATACTACCAACCGCAGAAAATATCATGAAAGAATGAAAACATTATGAAATTATTAAGAGGATATTTTTTCGTTTGCGTGAAATATGGAATATATTTTCACGAAACATGATAAAATGCCACATATTTTCACGAGCCGGTACGGCGAGTGAAAATATGTGGCATTTTATCATGTTGAGTGAAAATATACCATGTTTCACGAAAAACGAAAAAATAACCTTTTTATTTAATTTCATTATCAAAGAAAATGGTAACGAATCCCCTTGCTTGCTACCAACTGCAATTGTACAGCGCGCAGTAATTAATGCGTAAGCACGCGCTGTTTGGCGCTACATTGTGACGTCATGTAAACAACACTTTTAAACGTCTGTACAGCGTTATTACTGAATTAAAGATATTGGTGTTCGGATTAATTTTCTTAGTTAGACCATTTTCTATCATGCTAGATAGTTTTCAAAACAATATTCAAGAAAAAGTTGTTTTGTATTTATCAGATTTTTCAAACAAAACGGCGAAAGAAGTCCCTTAAAATAAATATGAGTTTTGACTCCGCCCACTTTCATATTTATATTTCATATTTATTTTTAAAAAATATGAAATATATTTGACTGATATAGCACCATATTTCATGGGTAAAATTAAATAAATGTATATATTAAATGAAAGTTACGTACCTTCGTCGTCCAGTTTGTAAAGTGGAGAAAAGATATACATCATATACACATCATTTAATGATAAATTACAACGTTATGTTCGGTAATGAAATCAATTATATGTTCAGAAGTTTCAGCCAGCATTACAAAAGCAAACGATTCGATTGTAAAATTAAACTTTCTATAAAAATACAATTACATATCTGATGAAACAATTTATATAAAATTGTCTTTTTTCTTTCTAAAATATGTCTCTTTATTTAATTTTACCCATGAAATATGGTGCTATATCAGTCAAATATATTTCATATTTTTTAAAAATAAATATGAAATATAAATATGAAAGTGGGCGAAGTCAAAACTCATATTTATTTTAAGGGACTTCTTTCGGCGTTTTGTTTGAAAAATCTTTTTCTTGAATTTTGGTTTGAAAACTATCTAGCATGATAGAAAATGGTCTAACTAAGAAAATTAACCCGAACACCAATATCTTTAATTCAGTAATTAACGCTGTACAGACGTTTAAAGAGTTGTTTACATGACGTCACAATGTAGCGCCAAACAGCGCGTGCTTACGCATAAATTACTGCACGCTGTACCATTGCAGTTGGTAGCAAGCAAGGGGATTCGTTACCATTTTCTTTGATAATGAAATTAAATAAAAAGGATATTTTTTCGTTTTTCGTGAAATATGGTATATATTTTCACTCAACATGATAAAATGCCACATATTTTCACTCGCCGTACCGGCTCGTGAAAATATGTGGCATTTTATCATGTTTCGTGAAAATATATTCCATATTTCACGCAAACGAAAAAATATCCTCTTAATAATTTAGAATAAATGGTTTTCTAAATAACGTAAGTGTTATTGTTTAGTAATTGATGTTGAATAACAAAATGAACACTGAAAATCGTCATATTGTAAAGTTGTAATATGTATGTAAAAGCTAAATGATCGTTGAAAATATATTATTCATGTCACTGCTCAGCTATTTCTGTGCTACTGCTCCTGCTGTGCTATTGCTAACTGCTGTGCTACTGTTACTGCCAATTTCACATTTTATAATTTTGCTACTGCTACTGCTGTGCTGCTGCTACTGCTAACTTCACGTTTCCTACTGCTGTCGCTGCTACTGCCTCTTCCCATGCATCAAATCCAAATATTGTGATACCAAATTCTGTGATAACGTCACAAGAAACAGTGTCCTGTCTATTGCATATTGCTTAATGTCTATTGCAATGACATTGGTCAAAGAACTATAAGTTTGAGTGTTTGTGTATTTACTCATAGGTGGTAGTCACATAATAAATGTGACGCACGCATCCAGGCTATTTCAAAACTGTGTTCACTGCGACTATATAAAAACCTGGTTTTAATAAAGGATCGATCTTTTTATTCTTGATTTTACTACTTCTGGACCGAATAACATGCTCGATTTCGAAATATTCACTGTATATGCCTTGCTGGGGCTTGAGCGGTCAGAGAATCCTAGCGTATAGTATACCTTCCACCGACTACCTCACGATCGATTGGTGGCTGGTATCCAGGATAATAAGTATGCCCTAAACATTGGCATTTATACCCCCCACTCGGATCCTGGACATTGGCAGCGATATTTGAGACAGGTGCGTATACAATGGGTGTATTTCAATAACACTTGTCTTTAGGTTTACAATATTTACAAAGACGCAATTTAAGTATTTGAATGTCTACCAGTTTCAATGGCCAGATTGTTCGAGGAACATTTTACGAAATTCACTAATATTTACAAGGATATCGGTTCATCCATGCATTCTTAAAGTTTGGTACCATATATTGAAGAATTGACATCCTATATTGAGAAAATCAACTTATATAATGCTACCTTGGTTTCATGCACTAACAGTATGGTTTCATTTTGTAACTGTCGATTAATATGACTTCCGGTTTAATATGAACGTGTTTTCAATTCATATGTATGGTTAAATTAATTGAAAATGAACAATATAAGACAGGCATGGTTTTCCATACAATCCCGTGCATCCCGTGCATTCCTTTGACGTTGAGTATATAAGTTGCGTATAACAGCTACTTTTTGTTGTGTGTGTGTTGTTTATGTTTATTTGTTGGTTTTTTTTAATTTTTTTTTTTATAATTTCCCTTTATGACAATAAAATCGCAATGCGGTTCGCTCATAATTTTCTCAGAGAGAAAGAGAAAATAATCGGGACACAGTCTAACACGTCAACAGGTCACATGATCGATGGAGGAAGCCATTTTGGATTTCCGAAAACATACACACAAAATGTCTATGTAAATTTGACACATTTTCTCGAAGATAGCAGTTGACAGTGCTCAAATAAGTCAATAGGCGTCGTCAGGATAAAATATGGCGTTGAGCAAAGTAAAAGGGACACTCGAAAGAGTTTTAGATAAGAATTTACAAGATTTGGTGCGCGGCATCCGAAATCACAAGGAAAATGAAGTGAGTGGGAGTTGGCCATGTTAAAAGTTTAATGCTTGTTAAATGAATAATAAGTTTATTGGGAACGGAATTGCTAACGATGGAAATCCTGTCATTGGCCTGAAACTGTCCAATTTGCACCATTTGGCCTTTTCATGATTTTTAGGGTCTGCACAAATCATGTGCTTTTAAGACTTGTGCTGTTTTTCTTCTTCTTAAATATATAATAATCTGAGTGGTTCTGGCCAGGAAGTTTTAATTACTGTTCAGAACTAGCATCTGTGTGGTTCAGGACTGGTTATGTCACTGTTTCCTCTACTGGCGCTACACAACCTCAAAGTTTGGGACAGAAAAAAAATTGTCTGGAACATGTTCCAGTCCACTCGAATTCGGTTCTGACTGTTCTGGACCATAATTTGAGCCGACCCTATGCCACTGTTCAGGGCCAAAAAACCCTTCTTTGTAGAGGCTGAATATAGGCTGTTTCCCCAACCAAATTAGCCTCTTTTTTCGCCCAGTTTGGTCCTCAAAATTCCCCAGTCTTTTGAAATTTCCCATAGAATTTAGAACAAAATTAAATGATGGTGTTGAATTAAGGTCTTTTACTGCCGTATTAGTATTTCCCAGTGCTTTTTGCTTTTCTATTTTGAAGAACACGTTAAAAGTTTGTGTTAACTTTGAGACCCCTTTTCCCAAATTATCCCAAAATCACGCATATTTTCCCCAAGAAAAAGGCTGAGGCCCCTTCCCAAAAATTGGTGTTTTGGCCCTGCTGTTCCCACTACACAACATCCTCTATTGGGACAGAAAAACATTGTTCTGAACAATTTTCCTTTCCACTTGAATTCTGTTCCATGATTTGTGCAGACCCCTAGTCAAATTCTGCCAGTATTTTACAGATTATTTGCTTGTATTGTTGGTTTGTTTTCCCATTTTTGTCAAAGTTAGAACAACATTTTGAGGGTAGGCCTATAAACCTGCACTTTTAAGTCATGCCAGTTGACTGCTTCCTGGACATCATATATCTAGTATTACCCCAGTGTGGATTGTGAAAGTCAAAGACAACTGGGACATCATATAATAGGACAGGGTTATCTTTTTGTCTGTTTGTTTGGGTTAAAGTTGAATTTAAAATCTTTGGTTCTTTACCAACATAGTCTGACTGGCTTTGACAGAATTTTCCTGAACTGAGTGACATTTTACCAGTCAGGTCTGTTACAGCGGCACTTTTTGGAATGTCTGCACATTCAAGACTTCATTAATATTAGTTTCCTTTTATTAAAGTTTGGTATGTTAATGAAGTGGTAAAATAAAAAATTTGTAAATCACCTTTTATAATTTTTGAAGAGAAAAGTTATTTGTATAAACATTAAAAGCACATTGTATTATTTTCTTAACCATCCATGCATATTTTGCTATATATTTAGGTTAACCCTTAAAGGGCAACCTAGTATTAGTAGTAATCCTATGATAAAACATTATGTTTGAAATTTGTCACCATATGACCTACTATGTGTTGGTGCGACATCTGTTTATAATCCAGTTTTGGAAAAAGAATCTCTTCATGAAGATGAACCTTCCAGAATTAGTGCAGAATCAAAGTGATAGTTAGTATTAGTAACCCTGCTTTTATAACAATTCATATCCTCACCAAACATAGTTTAGAGGTGGGGCTATATCATATAGGAATCACTTTAGAACCAGTAGAGATTTTAACTTGAAACTTGGTAGAGCAATGCAATATTACAATGTCAGTTTCATAACTCTTGATAGTTAGTTTGACACAATTTGCCACATTTCAGTGTTCTTTTTTCCCAATATTTAATTTTACAGCCAAATAAAGGCTGTTTCCCCTAGCCGGTAGCCCAAAATAAGTATATATTCCCCTAAAAATTTCAGAAACTCTTAATTCAATTTTCGGGGAGTATTGTTCCCTCTTACATGCTTGATTCCTCAGAAAAGTACTATTGGCTAAACTTTGCAAGCTTATTGTTAAAGTCCCTGTCATACTATACTGCAATTCAACTGGATTGGAATAGAATTATTTTAATTTTCCATAGAGCCATAAGATCGCAAGAAAAATCTCATACTTTTCATAAAAATGGAGATTTCACAATGTTGCCACTATAGTCATTCCATTGCTACAGACCTTTCATTGCATTCTGTTGTTTTCCTACAGAGTTTCTTTTAGTTGAGTCAATTCAAGTGCTATGTGGGTGACTCTCAACCATGTTCAACTGACTAAGATAAATTATGATATTATTAATATAAGTCTAAGTCATATTGTTAAAATTTTCCAGTCATTTTGTTTTTATTAAATCAGATGTGAAACATTCAGCCTATTTTTTTTAAAACCGTATAGAATTTATATGGCATTTCTCACACTATCCTTAAATGGTAAGTGTATGTCAGGTAAATGCCAACATATTGTTGAATATACAATTTTACTTTGTAATAATAACAAATCAGGGAAATAAAATCGATAGTTTGTTTAATTGCTGTAATTATTTGATACTACTAGTGGTATTCTGTTGAGAGCATGATAAAAAGCACTGTTATATGACAGTAAATCATGTTTATGTTTCTTTTTGACTTGCATTAGTACCAGGAGGTAAGTGAAATTTAGAGACTGGCATAACCTATATAAAGCAACCTGGGAATATATTGTATGTTTTCATTTTACTCTAGTGAATTTCATTACAGGTTTCAGTATATGATCTACCGTTCTAGTCTTCTACCTAACACACATATACAGTAGTAAGATCATTTGGTGCTTAAAAGTTGAATAATTTATTTGTTTTTTGGCTTTATAGTGCTTTATATTAAGGTTACTATTTTAGAAAAGTTGGTGGTTTTGTAATTGTATGATTGAAAAAAAACCACAAAGTATTACAGTATTTCATTTATCCAAATTGTTATATTACATGGCTATTAAGAGCAACTAAAAATTCTGGCACTTTAATTATATCAATTTAAAATGATTTACTGCTTTATATGAACTGAATTTATAAACTTAAACTCATTTTCCTGCTAACAAAAGTAACATGCAATTGCATGAAGTTATAACACAGGGTTTTTTCCCAGGATTTGGGGAACTTGACCCATACCCATGGAATTGGGAATTTCAGCGATATTTTGTTAAAAATTGGGAAAAAATGCATGACTGAAAATTTGCAGTGACTGAATGAATGCAAACAATCACTGTCTAGGATGGTATCCTCAAACATTTAAGCTCTACAACAGCGAAGAAGCCCTTATTTTTCAAAGATTTTAGAGTTTTTTATTCAATATTTTTATTTTGTGGATTGTCAAAATAATATACTATTTTCAATTGGGAATATGACCAAATATTGGCTATAAAACAAGCAAAAAAAGTCCCTGTAATATTATACATCCTGCAGTTTCAGGAAGGTTTGTACTATATTTTGGTATCTTATTTCTAACTTTCAATAGACAATAACATCATTTTGTGTTCTTCAGTGTCTGATCAAGAAAATTGAAAACATAATTGCACAGTCAGTCAAGAGGTCATTAGTATCTATTCTATAAATATCTTGGCTCGTGAAATTCCCTTGAGTATATGATAATTGTTTACATACATTTTTTGTATTTATGTTTGTGTTATGTACTGAATGGATGCAAAGAATCATCATGCATTCAAGTTACCAGTTTCAAGTGGTAAAATGAAGCAATGCTTACAGTGCATTTATTTTAATTAACAATTATCATGTTAAATGGACTTGTCCAATCCATATTATCTTTCAAGCAGTACAAAACCACTTATCATTTTACGTGAAATTTCAAAATATGTACTGACTGAATGGCAAACAGCTCATGGCTTAAAATATTAATCAGTATATTCAGATATTTTGCATGCATAATACAATTTTAAAAAATCGGAGAGAATTATCAACTGAGAAGATATCTTTTATTGACATGTATGAAATACTGTAGTTAAATGTTCTCCTTGTTACTGAATGATGCACAGGAAATAGTTCTCTGTTGTTAATGAGGTAGCCTCTTTTATTATCCGTGTGATGTCTATTATGAGAATATTGATTATATCTTTGAGTTAGGACCATTTTTACATCATTGCTGACTGGATTGTAATAATACCAAACTTTCTACAGGCTTGTCGTGTATATTTACACTTGTCTTCTCCCATTGGGCTCTCCTGCTTGCATGATAACAATACTACTATAATGTATTACAGTGTCTGACTACAAGAAACTCTGGTGAAGGGAATTTATTTTAGACAGTACATGAATATACTGTCGACTTTAATCAGTATCTAAAGGTTCCCTGCTTATATTCCTTGCCATATTTGATATTTTATTTGTTTATGTTTTTGTATACAGTAACAAATTTTTTTAATTATGTCTGTATTGTGTTTATATCTCATGCATTGTGTATTTCTTCAAGCACTCTGATATAATTGTATACATTGGGCATACCATTTTAATTATTTATATACACTGAATGTTTCATATTGAAAAATAATGTTTATTTATTGTACTATTTAAATTAGAATTATCATCTTTTATCTCTTTTTGATACAAGACTTGAACTTCTATATAAATATTGTTATCATTATTGAAATGTGTGATGTTTATACTGGTGTATATATAGAGCTGATTCACATTTAATTTATCACTTTTGATAACAAAGCCATAATAATTATCCATGATTAGTTACTGGTGATTGGTCTAATTTTTGCATATCCTTTATTACAGTATTTTAGTATTTAAGGAACCATTCATCCTCAGAGTGACACCTTAAGTTTCCCTCCACCAGTAAAACTTGAGTCGCCATACAACCTATACTGTGTTGGTGTGACCTAAAATCCAACCCAAAAAGAATTATTCCATCTATCCTTTACAACAGTATTTCAATTGAAATACTGTTCACCATTTTAAGTCAATATCCATGATATTATAAGTGTGTTATGTTTATAGAACACAGAGTGATAAATGACCAGCAGATGTTTTCTATATATATCTTTTATACTGTCAGGAAGCTAGTTGTCTAGAGGCCATTTATAACTAGTGTCATTATACTCCATTGATTATGTCCCTTATGATTTTCTCAGTAATTTCTCTATAACAGGAATATGAATCATGGTCTTTTCTGTCCTTACTTAAATAATGCAGTGTTGAATTGAATTGTCCATTAATTTTAATAATAAATCAAATGCCTTTTCAAAGGCTATTTTGGGAGAAATCTCTGGTTTAAATTTTATAGAAAACTTTTCTAAATTGCATGTTTTTTGTTTGTTTTTTTTTAAACTGCGCAAAACATATATGTCATTTCTGAAATTTCAGAAAGTTGAAGAACTTCAAAATGTGCCTTATGTATGAAACCTTTTTCATTTTCTTTATTTATTTTTTTTATGCAGCTGATTGAACTTTTTTTTGAAAGAAGTTATTTTGGATTTGGTATGGTGCTTACAATACATGTATATCAACCTGTGGTGATTGGGCAAAAATGCCCCTGTATTTTATATTTTATAAATGCATTGTTACTTATTCAAGTGATGTTTATAAATTCAAGCTCTTACTGAAACAATATACTGATATAGCTCAAGGGATGGTTTGGTGTACTATAAACTTTAATAATGTACACAATTGCTGATTTATAATCATGAACTTCAATCAATAATGATTTTATATTGTAATCAACTAATGGTAGTCAATATTTTCTCTTTGCCATTGGCCATGTGCATCTGAGAAAATATTCCACACTAAAACCAATGTTTTCAAGTGAATTCAATTTTATAATTTGTTTTATCCATTTTCCCTCTGAACATGTAGAGTGTTTTGCAGCCGCAGATATGAGAAAATAGGTTATACTGTCAGTAGTTTTTGAAAGTGGTCAAGATTGTGCAAGAATGTTTTTTTCAGGGTTTTTTTTATGTGTAATATTGCACAGAGTTCATTTTAGTGGTATTTTATTAAGTTGTAGTTCATTGAAGCTTAAATGGAAACATTAAAAGCAATGATTTCCTATACATTTTTGAAATTTTATCTAATTAATACACTGTGTATAATTTTCAGCACAAGTATGTTGCAGAATGCTTGGATGAGATCAAATCAGAACTTCGTCAAGACAATATTGCTGTTAAGGCCATGGCAGTCAACAAACTCACATATGTAAGTGAATCATGTTAAAATGTTAAACTCGGTGCATCAGGCAGAGATCATTTAAGATTAATGTAACCAGTGAAGAACTAGGTGAGCCAGCACCTCTGTGCTTTTTTATCATGAAACCCAGAAAATAAAATTCATTTATGTGGAGTAGACAGTAGCTAGTTTTTTATGAAAATTCAGTGAGGAAAGCCCCCCCCTAGTTGCTGCATCCGAATTGCAGCCACTGTTTTTCTCTTTGTGATTGTAAGAGGTGACTGGGTTCTATGCATCTCTTAGCTCCAGAAGGTGTTATGGTTTTAACCCCTGGTGTTGCTTTAAGTTTGTAACACACATGGTTAGCCAAAATCATCTTTCCTGTTTTCGTGCCATGTGACCTAAATTGTGTTTGTGCACTGTAAAACCAGACAAAAACAAACAGTGAGGAAAGGTGTTATATAAAGCAAAACTAGAAAAGCTTATTGTGTGTTAGAAATTGTGTATTGTTAGCTCTACATTCATAATTCATAGCTGAATGTCTGCCAGTCATAAATAATTATCTATTTGGTTTGTAAATAATAAACTAAAGTGGGTTTGTTTAAAATGTCATAGATCATTCAAGTTGTCTTGGAGCAATATTTAATACTCTCAGAATTTTGCATGCTAGTTTTAAGCGAAAGATTTATTATGTGCAAATTATTTTGATATCTGCTTGATGCTATTAACAATTTATTGGGTGTATTTTAAGCGATTACTTTACAAACCAATGTATTTAATTGCATGTTTGTCATTGGCATTCTCTCTCTCAACTGTTACTCTGAGACTAAATGAAGTTTATGAGAGAGAAAACTATAGTCAAAACCAAATTATTTATTAAATGAAATTTTATGTACAAATTGTATTGTTCATAGTAGTAAAACTTGTTTTTATGCCCCCTTTTGAAAAAAAGGGGGTATATTGCTTTGCACTTGTCGGTCCGTCGGTCCGTCGGTCCGTAGACCAAATGGTTTCCGAGTGATAACTAAAGAACCCTTAGGCTAGGAACTTCAAACTTGGTATGGTGATTGGTCATGACAAGTACATGACCCCTATTGTTTTGGGGTCAAGGGTCAAAGGTCAAGGTCACATTGACCTTGTAAGCAAAAAACGGTTTCTGATCAATAACTAAAGAACCTTAAGGCCTAGGAACTTTCAAACTTGGTATGGTGATTTGTCATGATCAGTAGATGACCCCTATTGATTTTGGGGTCAAGGGGTCAAAGGTCAAGGTCACATTGACCTTGTCAGCAAAACGGTTTTTCCGATCAATAACTAAAAGAACCTTAAGGCCTAGGAACTTCAAACTTGGTTTATGGTGATTTGTCATGATCAGTAGATGACCCCTATTGATTTTGGGGTCAAGGGGTCAAAGGTCAAGGTCACATTGACCTTTAAGGTAAAAAACGGTTTCCGATCAATAAGTAAAGAACCCTAAGGCCTAGGAACTTCAAACTTGGTATGGTGATGGTCATGATCAGTAGATGACCCCTAATGATTTTGGGGTCAAGGGGTTCAAAGGTCAAGGTCACATTGACCTCTTGGGTAAAAACGGTTTCCAAATCAATAACAAAAGAGACCCTTAGGCCTAGGAACTTCAAACTTTGGTATGGTAATTGGTTATGACCAAAGCAGATGACCCTATTGATTTTGGGGGTTAAGTGTCAAAGGTCAAGGTCACATTGACTTGTAGGTAAAAACGGTTTCCGATCAATAACGAAAGAACCCCTTAGGCCTAGGGACTTCAAACTTGATATGGTGATTGGTCATGATCAGTAGATGACCCCTATTGATTTTGGAGTTAAGGGGTTAAAGGTCAAGGTCACATTGACCTTGTAGGTAAAACGGTTTCCGATCAATAACGAAAGAACCCTTAGGCCTAGGGACTACAAACTTGATATGGTGATTGGTCATGATCAGTAGATGACCCCTATTGATTTTGGGGTCAAGGGGTCAAAAGGTCAAGGTCACATTGACCTCTTAGGTAAAAACAGTTTCGGATCATCAATAACTAAAGAACCCTTAGGCCTAAGGAACTTCAAACTTGGTATGGTGATTGGTCCATTCATGATCAGTAGATGACCCCTATTGATTTTGGGGTCAAGGGGTCAAAGGTCAAGGTCACATTGACCTCTTAGGTAAAAAGCAGTTTCCGATCAATAACTAAAGAACCCTTAGGCCTAGGAACTTAAAACTTGGTATGGTGATTGGTCCATGACCAGCAGATGACCCTACTGATTTTGGGGTTAAGGGGTCAAAGGAAAGGTCACATTGAACCTTGTAGGTAAAAAATGCCTTTCCAATCAATAACTTAAGAACCCTTAGGCCTAGGAACTTCAAACTGGTTTATGGTGATTGGTCATGACCAGCAGATGACCTATTGTTTTTTTTGGGTCAAGGGGTCAAAGGGTCATGTAACATTGACCTTGTAGGTTAAAACGGTTTCTGATCAATTAACAAAAAACGCTTAGGCCTAGGAACTTCAAACTTTTGTATGATGATTGGTGGTGACCAGCAGATGACCCTATTGAGTTTTGGGTCAAGGGGTAAAAGTCAAGGTCACATCGACCTTGTAAGTAAAAAAACGGTTTCCTGATCAATAACTTAAGAACGCTTAGGCCTAGGAACTTCAAACTTGGTATGGTGATTTTTCATGACCAGCAGATTACCCCTTTCGATTTTGGGATCAAGGGGTCAAAGGTCAAGGTCCATTGACCTTGTAAGTAAAAACGGTTTTCTGATCAATAACTAAAGAACACTTGGGCCTAGGAACTTCAAACTTGGCATAGTGATTGGTCATGATCAGCAGATGACCCCTATTGATTTTGGGGTCAAAGGTCAAGGTCACATTGACCTTGTATGTTAAAACGGTTTCGGATCAATAATAAAAGAACCCTTAGGCTAGGAACCTTCAAACTTGGCATGGTGATTAGTCATGACCAGCAAATGACCCCTATTTGATTTTGGGGTCAAGGGCAAAGGTCAAGGTCATGACCAGTAGATACTTTGATAACCCTTATTAATTGTTTGATCACTGGGTCAGAAGTCATGCATAATTACTATCACATGAATTAATTTGGCTGCTGATAGGGGGCATACATGTTTTACAAACATATCTTGTTTTACTAGTTACTAAATTCTTGTATTATGATTACATGATTTTAACCTGAATGTGAAAATTCCAGTTATTGCTGTGTATGTTTTCAGCTTCAAATGTTGGGATATGATGTTAGCTGGGCAGCCTTTAATGTGATTGAAGTGATGAGCTCTACAAAATTCACCTTTAAGGTAACTATAACATGTATATGGTTGAGATATTATGATATGTGTAGTAATTGATATACAGAGAACAGAAACAGAATCTAACAATTCTTACAGCTGTTTATTGATTTTCATTTTTTACCCTAATTATAAGATATTAAAGATGAAAAAAGTATGTTTATGCTGAAATTGGACCCTTAGTAAAGGTTTTACTACAATGTTGATACTAGTAGAATCTGTCCTGTAAGTAGGTCATTGAAATGAAATAACCAGCAATTTAATCAGTCTTCAGTCAACCTTATTAACAACTGTATAGTATAGTTTTATTGATTGTAAGTCTGCTACCTGCTGTACATGATTAACATTCATATTGGAGTACCGTACCTATTATAGAGACAATGCCAGTATTGCCGTGAATAATTCAGCTGCTACCATTATATTAAATTATTGTGTTTCAGTTGGAAAAAAGGTTGTTCACAATTTATCATACTGTCCTTAAAGGCCCATTGTGCCCTAGAAATGTCTTATTTTTATTTCTTAAAAGCTTTTTATTTCTGTTGTCATATTATAGTTACCATAAAATTATTTATTGGCCTATTACCTTTACCATCTGTTTCTTCTGCTTTTCAGCATATAGTAACATAAACTAGGATTAGTGAGTGGGGGGGGGGAGCATTTTGAAAGCATATGTATGGAGAATGTATATCACTTATGTTAATTATGTTAATCCATAGTACTGACATATACAATTAATACCTTACATATACAAAGTATGAGCAAAAATTGACATAAAACACCTTTTCATAATGATACATATATTTCCTGTAGTTACAATCAGCATTCTTGAAAAGTAAGTATACAGTATGTTCAGCATTATATAAATAAGATATTTGTAAATTTTCATTTGTAGAGGATAGGATACCTTGCTGCCTCACAGAGTTTTCACGATGGCACTGATGTTCTTATGTTAACTACAAACATGATACGCAAAGTAAGTCATAAATAATGTGATTGAACTACAAATATGATATGCAAAGTAAGTCATAAATAATGTGATTAAACTACAAATATGATATGCAAAGTAAGTCATAAATAATGTGATTGAACTACAAACATGATATGCAAAGTAAGTCATAAATAATGTGATTGAACTACAAACATGATACGCAAAGTAAGTCATAAATAACGTGATTGAACTACAAACATGATACGCAAAGTAAGTCATAAATAATGTGATTGAACTACAAACATGATACGCAAGGTAAGTCATAAATAATGTGATTGAACTACAAACATGATACACAAGGTAAGTCATAAATAACGTGATTGAACTACAAACATGATACGCAAGGTAGGTCATAAATAATGTGATTGAACTACAAAAATGATACGCAAGGTAGGTCATAAATAATGTGATTGAACTACAAAAATGATACGTAAAGTAAGTCATAAATAACGTGATTGAACAACAAACATGATACGCAAAGTAAGTCATAAATAATGTGATTGAACTACAAATATGTTACGCAAGGTAAGTCATTAATAATGAGATTGAACTACAAACATGATAAGCAAGGTAAGTCATAAATAATGTGATTGAACTACAAACATGATACGTAAAGTAAGTCATAAATAACGTGATTGAACAACAAACATGATACGCAAAGTAAGTCATAAATAACGTGATTGAACTACAAATATGATACGCAAAGTAAGTCATAAATAATGTGATTGAACTACAAACATGATAAGCAAGGTAAGTCATAAATAATGTGATTGAACTACAAACATGATATGCAAAGTAAGTCATAAATAATGTGATTGAACTACAAACATGATAAGCAAGGTAAGTCATAAATAATGTGATTGAACTACAAACATGATACGTAAAGTAAGTCGTAATTAACGTGATTGAACTACAAACATGATACGCAAAGTAAGTCATAAATAATGTGATTGAACTACAAACATGATACGTAAAATAAGTAATATATAATGTGATTGAACTACAAACATGATACGTAAAATAAGTAATATATAATGTGACTGATTTGAAAACACAGATTGGAATGAATTGGTTGTATCATCTGTGTTATTGATAATTATGAGATAAATTGTTTCACGTAAGGTTCTTGGTAAATAAAATAGCCCCATATGGTACAGCCATTTTACAAACATTATATAGTACACAAATATTACATGTTTTATACACATAGCTGATAACATATGGCTCAGGTTTGTCGTTTATTGCCTACCACAGTCAATAAATAGCTTAATATAGTCATTTATTGTATACATAGAACTGTGAAGTTTTGTGAAACATCCTATTATAAAACTGTTCATATTGGCTAAAGTAATTTATTGGTTTACAACATTATTATATCACCATAGTTAAATTATTCTCACAAAACATTATAATCACATACCTGATAGAATACAACATGAGAATTTCCATGTTATTAATGCTTTTTACAGTCATGCAAAGAAAATTTGAGCCGCGCCATGACAAAACCAACATAATGGGTTTGCGACCAGCATGGATCCAGACCAGCCTGCGCATCCGCGCAGTCTGATCAGGATCCATGCTATTCGCTTACAAACCGTGCATGGATCCTCATCAGACTAGGCAGATGGGCAGGCTGGTCTGGATCCATGCTGGTCGCAAACGCACTATGTTGGTTTTGTCGTGATGCGGCTATTTTATAATTTTTGATTTCGGATTTGAGTATCAGGTCAGTATGACAGTGGCATTAATGGTTCATTTTCATCACCCCCGACCTCGTCAAATTTTCCCTATATCAGATTTGGGAAAGGGTTGGACATTAAAAAAATTTTAACAAAATTATATTCAATTTTTGCGTTTTAATTATTTTTTAAAATTTTTCCCAAAAATTTTGAAATTAAAAATTTCACAAATTATTTATGGGTATTTTCCCGAAAGTCACTGCAGTTTTTGTTTTTATTTTAAACAATAAATTGCTTTTTTAAAATGACACAACAAAACCATTTAGAAAGAAGGGGCCCTTTATTAAAATTTCCCGCATTCCCCGAACTCTCGCGCCTTTCCCCGCTGAAAAAAAATGGAGGATCCGATCAAGGCTATATTTCATTAAAACGATTTTTGCCCAAAAAAAAAATGAAGCTGTGATTCAACCCCGGCATTTTCTTTTTTAAATTTAATTTTCCATTTATTGAAATTTGGGTGTACTTAAAATCCAAAAACCCAAAAAATTATTTAACATTAAAATTTAAAATTTTTTTAAAGGGGATATTAATAAATTTTTATTTGATGGGTGTGAGTCTTATTGAGATTATAATTCAGTATATTGTCAAGTTAGATAATATTCATCCCAGTTTTTAAATTGTACCTAGCCAAAATAAAAAATCCCGATAGATAAATAAAATGTTTACCCACTGGGTAAAAATACCAGCAGGAATATACCCCCAAAGAAAATAAACCATTTAAAGTAAATAAAGCCCAACTAGAAAATAAACCCAGTCAAGGTAATTTTTAAACCCAAAACCAATAAAATACTCCGTTTGGGAAAAAGAAAACCTTTAAAGAAAAAAATGCCATGTTTTCCCTTTTACAGGTGATCTGCAGTGTGAAAGTTTATTAATTTCCGAAAAAACCGGGGAAAATTACTTTCATTTCACCCCTTGTTCTTCAAAATATTACAAAATAACAACGGGTTTTCATCAAAAATCATTAAATGTCATGTCAATTTTATCTTATTACAGTTCATTTTATTTTTCCCCCCATTTTACTACCTTTAAAAACAAAATAATTTATACATTATTGGTAATTTTTTTTTCATCCCCTTCAAAACACTTTTTTATCCCAACAGAAGTTAAAATTTTGCATTGGGGTATTTAAAAAGTTGAACTTTTCAATTTTAAAGTTTTGAAAAAATGATATTTTTAAAAACATTGAACAGGGGGTTTTTATTTGTTTTATATTATTTTGTTTAAATTGGGAAAAACTCATAAACCGTCTAGGAAAGAAATTAATAGAACCTTTAACAAATCTTATTCATAGGTAAATATTCTATTTATTGTTCATGGGAATTATTATGCCCCCATTTCGAAGAAAAGGGGGTATATTGCTTTGCACTTGTCGGTCCGTCGGTCCGTTGGTCCGTCGGTCCGTAGACCAAATGGTTTCCGAGTGATAACTAAAGAACCCTTAGGCCTAGGAACTTCAAACTTGGTATGGTGATTGGTCATGACCAGTAGATGACCCCTATTGATTTTGGGGTCAAGGGGTCAAAGGTCAAGGTCACATTGACCTTGTAAGCAAAAACGGTTTCCGATCAATAACTAGAGAACCCTTAGGCCTAGGAACTTCAAACTTGGTATGGTGATTGGTCATGATCAGTAGATGACCCCTATTGATTTTGGGGTCAAGGGGTCAAAGGTCAAGGTCACATTGACCTTGTAAGCAAAAACGGTTTCCGATCAATAACTAAAGAACCCTTAGGCCTAGTAACTTCAAACTTGGTATGGTGATTGGTCATGATCAGTAGATGACCCCTATCGATTTTGGGGTCAAGGGGTCAAAGGTCAAGGTCACATTGACCTTGTAAGCAAAAACAGTTTCCGATCAATAACTAAAGAACCCTTAGGCCTAGTAACTTCAAACTTGGTATGGTGATTGGTCATGATCAGTAGATGACCCCTATCGATTTTGGGGTCAAGGGGTCAAAGGTCAAGGTCACATTGACCTTGTAAGCAAAAACAGTTTCCGATCAATAACTAAAGAACCCTTAGGACTAGGAACTTCAAACTTGGTATGGTGATTGGTCATGATCAGTAGATGACCCCTATTGATTTTGGGGTCAAGGGGTCAAAGGTCAAGGTCACATTGACCTTGTAAGCAAAAACGGTTTCCGATCAATAACTAAAGAACCCTTAGGCCTAGGAACTTCAAACTTGGTATGGTGATTGGTCATGATCAGTAGATGACCCCTATTGATTTTGGGGTCAAAGGTCAAGGTCACATTGACCTTGTAAGCAAAAACGGTTTCCGATCAATAACTAAAGAATCCTTAGGCCTAGGAACTTCAAACTTGGTATGGTGATTGGTCATGATCAGTAGATGTCCCCTATTGATTTTGGGGTCAAGGGGTCAATGGTCAAGGTCACATTGACCTTGTAAGCAAAAACGGTTTCCGATCAATAACTAAAGAACCCTTAGGCCTAGGAACTTCAAACTTGGTATTGTGATTGGTCATGATCAGTAGATGACCCCTATTGATTTTGGGGTTAAGGGGTCAAAGGTCAAGGTCACATTGACCTTGTAGGTTAAACGGTTTCCGATCAATAACGAAAGAACCCTTAGGCCTAGGAACTTCAAACTTGGTATGGTGATTGGTCATGATCAGTAGATGACCTCTTTTGATTTTGGGGTCAAGGGGTCAAAGGTCAAGGTCACATTGACCTTGTAGGTAAAAACGGTTTCCGATCAATAAACTAAAAACGCTTATTCCTAGGAACTTCAAACTTTGTATGATGATTGGTTGTGACCAGCAGATGACCCCTAATAAGTTTTGGGTCAAGGGGTCAAAGGTCAAGGTCACATTGACTTTGTAAGTAAAAACAGTTTCTGATCAATAACTTAAGAACCCCTTAGGCCTAGGAACTTTAAACTTGGTATGGTGATTTGTCATGACCAGCAGATTACCCCTATTGATTTTGGGATCAAGGGGTCAAAGGTCAAGGTCACATTGACATTGTAAGTAAAAACGGTTTCTGATCAATAACTAAAGAACGCTTCGGCCTAGGAACTTCAAACTTGGCATGGTGATTGGTCATGAGCAGCAGATGACCCTATTGATTTTGAAGTCAAAGGTCAAGGTCACATTGACCTTGTATGTTAAAACGTTTCCGATCAATAACTAAAGAACCCTTAGGCCTAGGAACTTCAAACTTGGTATGGTGATTGGTCATGACCAGCAGATGACCTATTGATTTTGGGGTCAAGGGGTCAAAGGTCAAGGTCACATTGACCTTGTAGGTAAAAACGGTTTCTGATCAATTAACTAAAAACACTTTGGCCTAGGAACTTCAAACTTTGTATGATGATTGTTCGTGACCAGCAGATGACCCCTATTGAGTTTTGGGTCAAGGGGTCAAAGTTTAAGGTCATGACCAGTAGATACTTGATAAACCCTTATTAATTGTTTGATCACTCAGGGTCAGAAGTCATGCATAATAACTTTATCACATGACTAATTGGCTGCTGATAGGGGGCATACATGTTTTACAAACATATCTTGTTTATCTTTATGTTTGCAATAAGCTATATGGTCCTATAAAGCAGATAATTGTAGCTTTTATTGTTGATATAGATGTTTAAACATTACCTTAACTTAAAAGCATAAAAATAGGCTAATTAGGGACATACTAAATAAATAGCCTCCTTTAGTTTAATTTTAAGATCATTGTGTAAATAATAAAGTCATCAGTAGCAAGTTGTTGTAAACCACAAGTTGATTAATATAATTTTATAATTTGTGTGAAGGAGTAACTTGAAGTGTGGAAAACTTTTGGGGAAAAAATCTTAAGGTCTCCAAGTCTATACATAAGGAAGGTAAATCTGATTAGAAAGTTACCTGGTATTGTATGCTGTGCATACATGTATATTTTACTAATTTGACAATTTAGAGACAACTAGTTTGTATACAAAATCATAAAACAAAAACACACCAGTTTAGTCTGTACAAATTTATTTTAGTTTGATTGTGTTAGTAGCTATAAGCTTATTGAAACACTCGAGAATCCTTTCCTGGAACCAACCAGTACTAAGCAATGAATGTGAAGTTTCTTGCCTAAGGAAACAACAGCTTGCCCCTGACAGGGTTTGAACCCACATCTTCAGCAATTGTTAGATTACTAGTTCGACACATTAACTACTAGGTCACACTGCCACTCACTCAAGTTTGATTTCGAGTAATACAGTAATTAATGATTTAGATTGCCTTCTTTATAAATCTGTCTTTGGTTGTGTAATATTGCTGTATGTTATTGAATTAATACTGTGTATTTTATTTGATGATTTATAATTTCAGCACATCAGCAATGTCTCTCCTGTATGAATGTATCAACACTGTGATAGCTGGTAAGTTTGCATGTTGGCATGATTTTGTTTTGGTTTTTTCTCACATTTAGTTTTATCTTTTTATTTTTATTTATGCATATTTTTACATACTGGTATTGAAAACTTTTCATCATAAGTCTTTAATGATCAAAATATTTTTAATAAGAAAAAAAAAATGAAATTAAAAAAAACGTGTTATTTTTTGTATACAGTTTACTGTCAACTATGAATGAAGCTTTTTTTAAACTTTTTTTTGTTGTTTTTATATTTTATTTAATGCATATATTCATTAAGTTAATATTGTTTTCTGTTGTGTAAAGATTATGTTTATGTGGGTATATATTAGAAATCAACCTGTCTATATCAAACATGATTGTTGTCAAATATATTCAGCCAGTAAATGTTGTTATTTCCTCCTCATTTTACAACATACTATTTATTTATCTATTTATGAGATATAAAAGGATATTAGATGAACATTTATATTCAATACCAGTTTATAAATCAGAATGATAAGACAGTACAATTTGCATATGTTAATGCCCCCACTACTTTGAGGGTGGGGATAGATTTGCCCTTGTCCATCCCTCACGTTGCCCGTCAGTATACTGACAAAACAGTAGGTGCTTCCATATCTAATGAACACATATCTGGTTTATAATGTAGCTGTGTCAAATCCGTGTTCAAGAACCATTGTACAACACTCTTGAGTACATGTATAAATCAGCAAATACAATTCTTATAATTTACAGTGAAAAAAATAAATATTGCTTTGATAAATTATTGTGTTATTGTATTTTGTTAATTTCTGTTAATCACTATAAATTTTTAAACCATAAAGCTTATCATAAAAGTTCAATAAACACTGGCTGAATATATCAACTTTTTGTCAGTATTAGTGTCTGCAGTGAATCAAATTGGACATTTTAAGCATGTATAATACAATTGTTCATATTTATATACCCAGATTTATATGTTGTATATTTTGTAAAGATAATGCCTCTTTATCCGAATGACTTGTTTATAAATTTGACATAAATTTTGATAGAGTATAGTGTTGATATTTTACTCATTATTTAGTGTTTTTTTTATATTTTTTAATTTTAGTTTTTGCTTTTTAATCTCTAATACACAATATTTTATATGATACTACCATTTGTGGTCATAGTTTACAGACAATTACACTGCTGCTCTAATATTGCCCCTTAACATACATGATAATAGTTACATTAGCACTATACTAACATCACATATATTAGAACTAGTGTTTTTGTGTACTTGCTAGTATTTCACTCAATTCTGGTAAAAATTCAGTTTTAAATTCAATACATTTATAAATGGTCGAGTGTAAGCATACAGTCTAACCTTGGTAGGTGGGGAGGGGTCTATATTTAATTGGCTTTGAACATGTTAGACATAATGATGTTTTCTGACTGCCTCTCGGCTTTGAAATGATTATAAATTGTTTTAAAGCTAACATTTAGTTTTATACCCCCATTTGAGAGACATAAATTTGGTGTTGTCTGTATGTATGTCAGTACATATATTTTTGCAATGACAGAAAGAAGTTTATCAAATCTTATACAAATCTTTATTTTGATATTAATTTGTGTACATAGGTTATACATTTTATATCATCTAGTTATTACCATATAAGATGGTCTTTAACTAAAGTCAAGATTATGGTATGATATACATATGTTCTAATGTAATGTGACCAGACCATTCTCAAATATTTATTTATTTGGTCAAGGTATAGTAAAAGATTAGGGCAAACATGTCCAGTAGACATTGTTATGGTGTAATGTAGTTATATTCGGAATTCCTTAAGTATGTATCTGTAATTCTGGCTAATGCAGACATTGATCCACTGGTATACATAATACCACAGGGTACATATAAAGTGAGAACTCTTATTAAATTCTTATATCTTCCTAAAAATCAAAATTGAGAAAATGCAAGACACATCTACACGTTTTAAGATGCACCTAAGGCTTTAAATTTACAGGAAACAGAAACGATACAAGCTTGAAATTCTTAACTGTACATTATCAGACCCATTGTGGTGGGTTTATTATCTTGAGAAAGTGAAGAAGATGGTAGACAATTTGAACAGTAGAATGAATCAGATCTTTTTTCAAAGTGTTTCACAAAACACCATAAATAAAGACAATTTTTATTGCTAGGTTAACAGGGTGATAACAGTTTAGAATTTAGTTTGATTTCAAGTCTAATCTATATGCACATGTTTCTTTTAACATATAGCTTTTATATTGAAAAAGAAAGAAATTCCAGCTTGTATGAGAAGTATAAAGTGTGAAAAATTGAGAGAAGAAAATAGTGATTCACTGCGGGCACTTGTGTTATAACTGATTCATGTTTATTCTTACTTACAGTACTCATTTCTGTATCTACAGGCATTCCAAACCATACCGCCTCCATACAGGTAAAGTAACATGTTCTCTTTTATCATTGTCAAATATAATCATCCCCCCTAGCTTATGGGAAAGGGTGCTGTAATATGGCTTGGCTTATGTCTTCTCTAACAGATGCTTCTGCTATGGAAATCTCTTTGCTCTTACATCTAGAAAGAAGATCAAAGCTTTAGATGTTTCAATATAATGTATAAACTTTTGTAATTAGTAAAACAATACAAATAGGCCATTGTGGTTAGCTAATATAATAAAGCATATGTTGTAAAAGTGTTATACTATGTTAATGTACTATGTCATGTGGTCAAATAACATCTTAAAGAATGTTAAGAGCAAAACAATACAATATATTTTTAAAATGTCATATTCTAAAGACAGTTACATAGAATATATGTCATTTTTATAGGGCCGAAAATATTTTTGGCATATATTGTTAGGCATGTGGTCGTCTGTTTGTTAGCAATATTTGTGTTCCGTCTGTATCTTTTGGATCGGTGGAAGGAAATTGAAACTACTTGGCAGAAATGTTAACCATAGTCAGACAAAGTGCAGGGGATTTTGATTTAATATAAATTGTTTGGGCATGTAACATGCACTTATGTGGAGCCAAACAATAATTGTTATTAATCATGCCCCTATGGTTTTAATTAAGTTTTAATGCCCCTTGGGTTAATATATGGCCCGCCCCAGGACTCACTTTATTTATGTAGACTGACATAGACTTATATAGAAAAACAAATTTCAGTATTATTGTGTGAAAGCCCAAAGCTTAGGATATTTTGCCATGTAGCATCAATTGTAAGATTTCTAACAAAAAAAATTCTATAATCATGACCCGCGGGTCAGAAATTGGCCCTGCCCCTGGGAATGCAACTTTCTTTATGTAGATTATAAAGCTATAGGAAAGGACATTCTTATCATTTTTGTAACAAAAATACCATGCCATAAAATTTTGCATGAACTTGCCAAAGTAGACCTCTATAAATAGTTCTATGAATCATTGCAAACCAGCATTAAAAATTGCCACCACCATCGAGACCTAATAGTTCATAAAGAATAATTTAAGAAATAAAACATTTTTATACGCCCCGCACACAAAGTCACAGTTGCACGACACACACCTGGAATCAGCTTGTCGTCCGGGGCCGGACGTCCCCGGCCGTCCGGCTGTCTGTCGGTTTTTTTTAAGCTCGACTAATAACGAAGTATATGGAGAGCTGTTTCCTACTCCGGCCCCAGCATCGGCGTCCAACGGGCTGCGTCCAGATTTTCAGATTAAAGTTTTGGTGCAGTAAAATATTTTTCAAACTAATAACTTTGGTCATTTCTTGGTATCAAACTTCAAACTTTCAAAATATATGTCCTTATCATCAACCACATTCTTATGTGACAAGGTTCATAACTCCTAGCAGCCAAATATTTTAGGATTTATCTCCCCTTGAACTTAGAATTTTTCCCTTAAAAAAATAACTATTTTTTACTGTTACTTCTTTATTTTCTTAAGGGAATCAACCTCAATAAACTTCAAAAATATATGTATCTTATCATCATCTCCATCTTAGTGACAAGGTTCATAACTCTAGCACCAATTTTTTCAAGATTTAATCACCCCTTGAAACTTAGAATTTTCCTCAAAAAAATACTATTTTTTTACTGTTACTTCTTTATTTTTTTAAGGGATTCAACCCTCATACTTCAAATATAATTGTTACCTTAATTCATCCCAATCATTACCCCCCATCTTATTGTGACAAGGTTCATAAACTCAGCCCAAACAAATATTTTTAGATTTATCTCCCCTTGAACTAAGAATTTTTACCTTAAAAATATTATTTTTTAACTGTTACTTATTATTTCTAAAGGGATCCCAACTTCAATACTTCAAAATATATGTAACTTATCATCAATCCACATCTTATGTGACAAGGTTCATAACTCTAAGCACTAATATTGCAAGAATTAATCTCCCCATAAACTTAGATTTTTTTTACTAGAAAAATGTTTATTTTTTTACTATAACATTTTTAGTTTTAAAGTACCTCACCTCAAAACTTCAAATACTTATTCCTTATCATCATTTACATTTTATGTGACAATTTTTTCGTAACTCTTGAAGCAATATTTACAGATTTATCTTTCTTTGAACTTAGGATTTCTTTAAGAAATATTAATAACTTCTTTACTTTTTAAGGTATCTACTTCAAACTTCAAAAAATATATATTTTTTTTTAAATCAAAATTACCAAAACACATTGTTGTGTGACAAAGTTCATAACTTTAGCATGACTAAATTTCTAGAATTATTCCCTTGATCTTGGAATTTAGTTAACAAATAGAAATTTTTTTACTATAAACTTAATACATAATTATACATAATTGTTTTTCTTTTCATAGTTTTTTGTCCTCCTTACTGCATCCAGTATTTTATTAGTCGAGCTTGGCTGTCTCCTATGACAGCTCTTGTTTCTTGTCCGCCCAATAACTTAAGATTCCTTTGACCCACAGTCTTCATATTTGGCATGGAGGTTAGTCATGATTAGTAGATGACCCCTATTGATTTTGAGGTCACTTGGGTCAAGGTCACAGGGGCCTTGGCTTCAAAAAGCTTGTCCGCCCAATAACTTAGAAGATTCCTTTGACCCACAGTCTTCATATTTGGCATGGAGGTTAGTCATGATTAGGGGATGACCCCTATTGATTCTGAGGTCACCGGGTCAAAGGTCAAGGTCACAGGGGCCTTGGCTCCAAAAAGCTTGTCCGCCCAATAACTTAAGATTCTTTTGACCCAGTCTTCATATTTGGCATGGAGGTTAGTCATGATTAGTAGATGACCCCTATTGATTTTGAGGTCACGGGGTCAAAGGTCAAGGTCATAGGAGCCTTGACTTCAAAAAGCTTGTCCGCCCAATAACTAAAGATTCCTTTGACCCACAGTCTTCATATTTGGCATGGAGGTTAGTCATGATTAGTAGATGACCCCTATTGATTTTGAGGTCACTGGGTCAAAGATCAAGGTCACAGGGGCCTTGACTAAAAAAGTTTGTCAACCCATTAACTTAAGATTCCTTTGACCTTCATTTTTGGCATGGAGGTTGATCATGACCATAAGGTGACCCCTATTGATTTTGAGATCACTGGGTCAAAGGTCACAGGGACCTTGACAAAAAAATAAGTTTTTCCCCTCAATTGCTTAAGAATGCCTGTCCGCAGTGTATTGATTTTGACATTTTCACATTTGAAGCATGTAGAATACATAACTTAGCAATGCACTGGCTTAGTAACCTCAGATTTGGCAGGGAAGTTGTCCTTGAGCTCTAATTGGCCACTGTTGATTCTGACAAAGTGGTATGCGGGGGTATTCACGCCATGACAGTGGCAGTTCTAGTTCAGGCAAGTTTTTGATTGGGTCTCTTCCCAAATTGATTAGTTATTTTTGATTACTCAAACAAATTTACATTTGGGTGTATATTGCCCTTCAGTTGTGGTGCTTAGTAACAAACTATGATTGTGATTTGACTATACTATAAAGCAATTTGAAAAATAAATTGTTAGATTGTTCTTTGTCTCTGTAAAACTCTTTCTCTCATTAATACTGGTTAATACCTGTAACATCTCTATGTCTATGCCATCTAACTCAGAATAAATTATTATTATATGTGACTCAATTTCCTGATGGATCAATACATTAAGTTAACCATTTTCAACTTTGAACGATGCATGATATTTTCCTCAGTAAGTTGAATAGTTAAATGTTAACAAAGAGGAAAAAAAATGTATTTTAACTAGCAAGGTTAGTGTATAGAATCCTTGATTATGAAATCAAAATAAGCAGATCTTATGATTGCAACTAGGTCAAAATATCTTGTGTGTGTGTGTGTGGTTTAACCAAATACAGAAAAAAAATTAGTACCTTGGTTAAGTTATATTGAATCTCAATTACAAAACATGATAAATGTTTGAAGGTATCATATTTTGTGAACAGATTTTAGAAATACCTTATAATGCTAGCTATCTAATTGTGTATGAGTCAGTCTCATAATTCAAACAAGAAATTGTTGATATTTGAGAAGTTTGATCTTGTAAAACAAAATAAAAATGTTAGAGGGATCATATTTTAAAAAGTTCATGACAGTCTTCCCAAAACCTTTCAGTAAAATGTATATAATATTGTGATAGTGAATGCATTCTATCAATTAAAACAACTTTGTTTGATTAAGCGTGTTCATGAGAACACCAAATTTATGTTTAACCACATGCTACCCAGAGTAGTTACACAGATTTATAGTAAGAAATTGCATTATATTTACGTGACACAAGCTGTAATATATACAGATTGTGTATAAAAGAAGAAAAAAGGTTGGAAGTCCGTTATATTTTAAGAAATGTAAATGTGACTTAAGATATTTGAAATATTGTTTCAAAAAACAATCTAATAAGTTTTTATGACAATGGGGGTATACGGATTTGTCCCTGCTTGCCTTATGTAGGCTGACAAAACAGTTGAATGTTCCATGGACACATTTCTAGCTATGAATTAAGATACTAAGTATTAACTTGCTTTGATTTAAGTTGTAGTTTTGATATTTATAAGAATAAACATCTGCTATGTAATTAAAGACTTTCAACTGTAGAACTTTTTTCATAAGTAATTGTGATGCAAATTTAAGTAGCAAGAATGAAAAACAGATACATTTAAATATATATTGTTATTGAACATTTATATTTATGTTTTGGTTGATGGTTATTTCTTTTTTTGTTATTTTTCTTTGGGTATGTTAAGGCATGTTTAGAGGGCTTTGATAAATCACCTATGGGATAATTGTAAGTTTTGCTTTTCAGCTTTGTGTTCAGAAACTGAGAATTCTTATAGAAGATTCTGACCAAAACTGTAAGTTGTTTTAAACAATAAATTATCTGTACAAGTGTATAGGAAATCATAGAGTTGATTTTCACAGAGAAATATGTTTTTTTCTACAACTTTTGCTTATTTTAAAAGATGTTAGTTGAATGTGCACCTGAAGAAATATCCTTGTTTCATTTGTCAGACAAGAATCTTAATATTTTAACTTCTAGTGATGTAATTATTGTGTAGTCCACTTGGAAAACATTTTAATTGTTAAATGTTAATTAAGTGTTCTCCAGCTTCTCGTAGCTTTAAATGTGAACCTGCACACCTACCAGAAATTGAAGAAATGTTTTTGAAGACAAATGCCTCAAATATATTTAGATATTTAGCCCTTAATATGTTGAATTTCTTTAATGGATATGCCCTGCTTTGAATTTGGAACATTCCATTAAAAGTTAAAAGGATTGAAATTAAATATCAAAACACAATAAATAAGCTATTAACAGTTTAGAGCCTGGTCAGACTGAAAATATTAGCTCGCTAGCCTGGCTCTACATCAGTGGCAAAGAATAATTTATTTTGACTTTTGTAGGTTAAGAGATAAAAATTCAGCTGTTCTTTCCAGTGATGTTTTTAGCATAGAAATAAATATTACAGTGTTTAATTATAATGTTATATCGTTATGCTTCCAGTGAAGTATCTTGGCTTGCTTGCTATGTCTAAGATTCTACAGACTCATCCAAAATCTGTACAGACACATAAAGACTTGATACTTCAGTGTCTTGATGATAAAGATGAATCTATCAGGTTTAGAGCATTAGATCTCCTCTATGGCATGGTAAGTGACCAAGGCAGTTATTTCATAATTTTTCTTCATGGCATATTCTATTAGTTAGGTTTTTATGCTCAATATTTGATAGATTAGGAGGGCATATTGGTTTTTGATTGTCTTTTGGCTGTCACAAAAAGTCCTTATGCCTACAGCCCCAAACTTCATAGTTTGAAGAGTTTTACTTGCCAGACTGACTAAGTCTTTAAAGGATTTGGGGTCAAAGTTCAAGGTCATTATTAACCTTGGCCTTAAATACAAATCTTTCCATTCGTGGCCTTCAAACTTGACACATGTATGCACCTTGATTTTCTCTATTCACTAGACCAACTTAGTAGTCAAGGGATCAAAGGTCTAGGGGTCAGGGGTCAAGACCCATTCCCCATCCTTTTCTCTCCCATGGACATAGAAATCATATTTGATAGTGAATGTTACTCTTGAAGTGAATTTCAAGTTTTCTAATTATGACTAGTAATTAGGTGCACATTATGAATATTTATATTATACATACAGGTATCTAAGAAGAATTTGATGGAGATAGTGAAGAAATTGATGATACATATGGATAAAGCCGAGGGAACAAATTATAGGGATGAGTTACTGGCTAAAATTATAGAAATCTGTTCACAATCTAACTACCAATATGTCACAAACTTTGAATGGTAAGTTTTGATGTTCACAATCATACTTATCATATGTCGGAATTTTTGTCTTGTGAGTGTTTTGGTACCATCTCTTCACAATTTGACTATATGTATGCTACAGACTTTGGATGGTAAATCTTTATGTTCATCATAATCTGTCCTTATGTCTCTAACTTTACAGGTAATTCATTAAGCACCTTTCTAATTAATTTGCTGTTCAATCTACAATTCATACTTTTGCATGAGTTTTAGGTGATGATCATGGAGTAATTAATGTGAGTCCTGTAAATGTATAAAAGTAAGTTTGATCCACTTTACATTTACAGAGACTTAAAATTTACCTAGTATAAACATGTAGTAATGTATTTATATAATACAACATTTGAGATATATTTAGGTATGTGAGTATACTGGTGGAACTGACTCGTATGGAGGGTACGAGACATGGTCGACTGATAGCCTCTCAGATGTTGGATGTAGCAATCAGGGTTCAAGCTATACGTTCTTTTGCTGTGGCACAAATGGTAAGATAAAACCGCAAACTGTTGTATTGTAATGTATATGCCCTCATGTTGGCATGTAGTAATAGCAATATTTTCATTTACATCTGTTCTCTGTTTCAACTTCATTTAACAATAACTAAACTGTATCAGCACAAAAACCTTATATTTTTTCATTGTTTTTTTCAATTAATTATAATTTCTTTTATAAATATTGCACATACCCCTTCCCTTGTAGGCATTTGATGTTCGACCATGCATACTAAAGTTTATAAGTATCATTGTTTATACATGAGAATATTGATTACTTTCCAGGCTGTCTTATTAGAGAATGCTCATTTACTGGCCAACAACTCACAGAGAAATGGTATATGTGAGGTACTTTATGCTGCAGCTTGGCTATGTGGAGAGTTCCCAGAGTAAGTTCTAGACTTGTTTCTTTCTGGCTCAAATCATATCTTAATACTTATATTCATTAAGAGTTACATTTATTACAAAATTAGAAATGTCTTGGCTATTCTGAATTGTTTGAATTTGTATAAGAAAACAAACAGTCATTATATTTTTGAAAAATCAAGTTTTGAATCACATTTGCAGTTATATCATGTTAATAATGACATTTGAATATTTTCAGTGAGCTTGAAGATCCAAAAGGAGTTCTTGAAGCCATGTTAAAACCAAAGATAACTGCCCTACCTGGTCATATCCAGAGTGTGTATGTACAGAACTCTATCAAACTGTATGCTAACATCATTAAACGGTCCGAGGAGGATAATGATACTGAGGTTGTGAAAGAAGTAGGTGAAATGCTGCAAGAAAAATTACCTATCTTTATACAGAGCTCTGACCTTGAAGTTCAAGAAAGGGTAAGATAGTGTCTAAATATTCTTTATAGTAGTGAAAATATCTAGATATGAAACAGTTTTAGAAAAAAAAGCCTTTGATTTCGTAGACGTTTGAAAAAAAAAATTCTATTGTTGAACTTATTTTATGAATTATTTTGTTTGGTAATGTCTTTGCATTGTGGTTTGGACAACTGTTAGATTTATGTATTTGACACTTTTAGTACAGTATATAAGGAAAGCTGCTTACATTTAAAACATTTATATTTTGGTTAATATATATAGGGTTTTAAAAAAAACTAGAGTAATTTCTTTATTTATATGTATATTGTTTAGGCATGTTGTATGGTGCAGCTAGTCAAATATGTGCTCAAACTTCAAGATAAAGGTGCTAGTGTTACAGGTATTGCTGAAGAAGTGACAGCTCTTTTTGCTGGAGAACTTAACCCTGTAGCAACTAAAGCTCAAAAGAAAGTCCCTGTACCTGAAGGGTATGTGACAATTCTGTTATCTTCAATGTTTTATAGCTAGTAATTGCTTAAAGGAATAGAATTATTTGTAAATGTCAAAAGATGTAAAATCATGGTAAGTTTTTTGTGTTTGTGTAGGCCGGTATATTTAATTTAGTAAAATCATCTTGTACTTCTTCAATTACTTTTCTTTACACTCATAAAAATGGGATGATCATACAGCATTAGCGCAAGACATTAACTTTAATTAACTATTAAAAAAGTGATGCAAAATATAGTATAAGTATCAGTGAGTTATGCTTATTTCTTGTTCTATTACAGATTGGATTTGGACTCTTGGATCAATGACCCACCTTCAGAGAGTTCTGATGATGATGATAGACGTGTTGGTAACTCTATATTCCTGCCACCTGGTGGCGATGATCATAGGTATGGTTAAAGCCTTTATGTTTCATATAGTTGTAATTATTTTTTGCATATATATAAATTCATAATAAATATGTACAAATGTATTTATTTTTGCTATCTATTTTCAGTGTCTATACTAGGAGGGGGGATTAACCCCTATTAATGAGAATTCCCCCAAGGGGGAAAACTTTACATAGAGAAAGAAGAAAAAAATCAACAAATATAATAAATTCTCACTTTTCAATAAAAATCCCCCCAGTTTTTCAAATTCTAGAATAGACAATGTATTTTTGATCATGAATTTATTTGTTTTGATTTGTCAAATCCTATTGAGTAATACAGAATTATGATTTCAATTTCATACATTGTATTTAACGTTTATATACAAAATGTAATTGTGTTTTAATATATTTTCTTATCACAGGTCATTCTATTCTGAACCAGCTCAGAAAGTAAAGGAAATGACAGAGGAGGAGCGGTCTAAGGTATTATTATGATATTGCATATTTCTTAACTTATCTTATCACCTTAAAGGCAAGATTAACGGTCCTTATGGAATAGCTTTAGTAACCCAAAGTTGTAAAAATATAAAATTATTTTTAGTCACTAGAGCATTATGCCTCAGTAAGTTGTGAACCAGTGACCCCATTCTCAAGTACAGCAATACCTGTTTAATAACCAAATCCTCTGTTCAGGAGAGTCAGCTTCATGTTCCAAGTTCCTTCATAATGCCCCTTCCATACCCATCACTAATTGGGCATATCCACCATTATTTTGGCACCAAAACAAAACCTCTGCATTGACAGAAGTTAAAAATTCATTTTCTGCTTTTTCAAGAGGAAGAGGCATAGGGTTTACAATATGTTGATGCGCTTAAAAGGTTATGCTAATTGTACCTTGCTACATCAGGTGTAACAGTTCTGTCTAGTTATGAAATGTTGCTTCATATATTGCATAAATTTTTGTATTTTATAAGAGGGCAGCTGATGTTAAATTGTGTAAAGTTTAAATTATGAAATCAAATGATGGTAAGTTGGTAACTGGATGTTACTGTGTGACTGCTTTTCTTTATGTAATTAAAGTGAATGTTGATATTTTTTATTTCAGGCAAGAGAAACAAGACAAGCTGAACAAGAACATAATCCTAACTACCTCAAGGGGGATACTAAGGTAAGTAAGTCTGTCGCAAATTATTATTTCATGCTTATATAATAACAACAATGGAAATATTTTAAGTTAGTTATGATGTGGATAGACCTGTATAAAGACAAAGCTAACCAAAAAGCTGTATTGGCCGTTTTGATTGACTCCTTAAGAAGAAATTGAGAAAAAAAAAAGAGCTTTATAAGATTTGATATTTTTCGTTCTAACCCATTTCCACAGTGCATATAGCTGAATCTGTATATCATGTATTGTGTATGTTCTGGAATAAAATATGTTTAAACTAAATTCTTTTTAGATGGATACATTTTCTATGGTCATTATTGAAAGATTTAAGGAATTCAGAAACTTTTTACTCTAATACAGGCAATTAAAGTTTTGTATAAACTTTCAGCAAAGAGTCTGAGTATCTGAATTGAATCATTTCCACTGGTGAAGGCATCTTATATTATATGAGCCGCGTCACGACAAAACCAGCATAGTGGTTTTGCAACCAGCATGGATCCAGACCAGCCTGCGCATCCGCGCAGTCTGATCAGGATCCATGCTGTTCGCTAGCAGTTTCTTTACTTGTTATAGGGTCTGTAAGCGAACAGCATGGATCCTGATCAGACTGCGCGAATGCTGGTCTGGATCCATGCTGGTCGCAAACCCATTATGTTGGTTTTGCCGTGACACGGCTCATATGTAAGATATAATGGTAGATGTAAGTGCACAAATTATATTTTATTTACAGAGAAAGAAGGCATCACTTGTAGAGGGTACATCAGGTATTCCTGTGGCACACATTGACTTGTCAGTACCACTCCATGTACCAGGTATGCTTTATGTTAATGGCTGTACCTTATTTTTTGAAACTGATGATTTATTTTGAGAAAAAAGATTGAAAGTAACAGACAAAAAGTTTTGCAAAATGTAATGAATGAATTATGATAGACTATGTTACATACTTGTACTAACCCCTTTGTTATTTTTGCCTATTATGTCAGAGTGCTTATGTTTTCTGACAATGAATCACAAATTAGTTCAATTATGTTGATTCAAATTCCGTTTTATAAGCTTGTTAAAGGAAAATCATTAGGTCTACGTAGCTGAAATAATGAATGCGTAGTGTTTCCTACACCTTTGTAGGTGGAAAATCATATTTGATGATATTCTTCTAACACAACTGATAGAAAAAAGAATTTTTTCTCCAATTTTGTTATGTTGATAATTTTGAATGACTGCTAGTGTATAAAACTAAGTTTTATTGAATGTCATGTCTAGTCTGTTTTTTGTTGATTTTGAAGGAAATATATAGGCATGGAGTAGTAAGGTTGAATGTCTACAACTTTTGAAGTTAATTAACTTTTTGTTATAAAGTTAATGTTTTGTTACAATTAAGCTAATAAATATATATAATTACATGTACAGGTGTTAACTCTGACAAATACATGCAAATGGATGCTGAAGGAAGGAAAAAGAAACAGAAGAAGAAGAAGAGAAAGAAGAGGAAAGGAGAAGATAATAGTGATGAGGAGGATGACATTCCACAACAACATCAAGTCAGTGTTGTCACAGAAATGCCTGAGGTATTATTATTTATATTATGATTGTCTCTTATGATAAACTTGCCAATTAGATTTTCTCGACACTTTAGCCTCATACATTAAAATTTATTAATGTCTGCAAACTTTAACAGTCATATTTTATTACAATTTCAATGCATTATTAATAAATTTTATTTTTAAAATGTTAAATTTATGACTTATCTCTATATTATTTAAGCTTTATTTGAAAGTGTAGACTTATAATTTGTAAGAAGAAATTATTCAAATACTGTTTTTACTTTTTCTTCCTATTGTATGATAGAATATTAATTAGGAAAAGTTGTATTAAATGGGTTAACATTTTTGTAAGTTGATTATGTTAGTACTTCATATATTATGTAAATAGAAAGTATTTTATTTCATTGATGTTTCTATGGTTACAGGGAGCATCAAATCTGTCAGACAAGGATGATGAGGGTGATGAACTATACAAAAAACTTGACATTAATTTAGATGAGTATGTCATTTATAACCAATCATCATTATCTTAATAATAATTGAGCCGCGTCACGACAAAACCAACATAGAGCATTTGCGACCAGCATTGATCCAGACAAGCCTGCCAGCCAGGATCCATGCTGTTCGTTTACCAACTCTATAACAAGTACAGAAACTGATAGCGAACAGCATGGATCCTGATCTGGCTGCGCGAATGCGCAGGCTGGTCTGGATCCATGCTGGTTGCAAATGCACTATGTTGGTTTTGTCGTGACGCGGCTCATATCATTCAGTTTTATTTGATAATCTGTTTCTTGAACCATTTGAACATAAAAATGACATAAATAAAAATTCTTGTTTTGTAGCTTGATAGATCAAATGTTCACCAAACAAAGCTGTAAAGGATTCGCCTTTGGTTGTGTGAGAGATCTTTTGTAATGTTCTTGCTTAAAATCTTAGATGTGCAGTTTTCAAGAACTATAACTATACCTGGTCCTATTTTATGAAAGATTAAGTACATGCATTTAGTTGTAATTGTGAACATGTTTATATTTTTATGAAAAAGAAAGCTGCATTTATTTTTGTTGAATATATAGGTCACTGTATATTTTCTCTGCTAACTTATGAATTTTCAGACCACTACAGCCAAATGAAATCCTACCTGTAAGAACACATAGGGTAGTATCTGATCAATTACCATCACCTACAGATGAGCCTGTTGTGAAAAAGAAAAGTAAACATAAAAAAGAGAAAGAAAGTAGAAAGGAGAAGAAGAAAAAGAAGGAAGAAAGGAAGGAGGAAAAGGTAATCCAAGATAATTCCAACCTATATTGTGACAAACATATTTCTATATTAATTAATTAGAAGAATACAATGCTATTAACTTAATTGCTAATATACACTAAAAATTGAGAAGAAACATAATTTACTACAAAATAAATGTGCAAATGAAATAATGAATTCTTTCATGTGAGGGATCTATTCAGTTTAGCTTGGTTTTGCTTTGTTGTATTAGTGAGAAAATTTTTCCACAAGTGTAGCTAGAAAGTTGTAAGATAAATTTAAACATTGTCATGGTGACATTGAAACACATTGTTAAAAATATGAGCCGCGTCATGACAAAACCAAAATAGTGCTTTTGCGACCAGCATGGATCCAGACCAGCCTGCGCATCCACGCAGTCTGATCAGTATCAATGCTGTTCACTTACGAACTCTATAACAAGTAGAGAAACTGATAGCGAACAGCATGTATCCTGATCAGACTGTGCGGATGCGCAGACTGGTCTGGATCTATGCTGGTCGCAAACCCATTATGTTGGTTTTGTCATGGCGCGGCTCATATATATTTATAGAAGAAGCATAAGAAGAAGGCACATAAAATGAATGGTGAAGATGAGCCAAGTTTGATGATGGAGGACCATGAAGAGATTGATGGTGATAACACACCATTACAATCTCCACGTGATAACGCTCCACCTGTAGTCAATAATGTAGATGATAAACCAATACAAAATGGAGATGAAAAGGTTTGGCTTGTTTTTAAACTGAAAGATTGTCTCTTGCAGAAGCGCTCATGGTTGTGCAGATAATATGGAAAAAGCTCACTAAATAATACAAGTTTCAGATTTTTTCAAATATAAGAGATTGATGGCATTTATAACATATCATAAATATAAAACAGACATTTTACAATCATGTCAAACTTAAAATTTAAAATCATTCATGTGAACTGTTTGAAAATTATTGTCACATAAAAAATAAAATGTGACCAAAAAAGTGATTATATCTCAGAACAGCTCTGTGTTTTGTATTCACCCGGATTATAATGATAAGTGTTTTTGTTTTGTTTATAGATGAATGACCTTGACTTCTGGTTGTCAGGGAATGATGCTAAATCTAACAGTAAGCAATCTGAGGAGCAGAATGAAGAGCCTGTGAAAGTGAAGGTCTCTCATGTACCAGAATTATCATCAGATGATGAGGACGTCAAGGTAATTTGATATACTCACTTTATGAAGAGAAAAAGTTTCTTGAAACATTAGTGTGATGTAATAGACAATGGTAATATAAAGTGATTTACATGTAGAAATTCTCTATCATTGGCCTTTAAAGTGTTATCTATCAATAATTGTGTATTTTGAGTATAAATATGTTATTTCATATTGAAATGTGTTATTTCTAAAATAGTTCTAAGATATTGAAAAATTTGTTTTTGATAATTTGAATGGTCACCATTTAAAAGTAAAGGTTTTACACTTGGTAAGTTAGTGATTTGAACATGTCTGTGGGTATAATTAATATACATGATTTTTATATGAGTATGCAATATATTTTGTAGACACGTTCCAAAAAGAAGAAAAAAGAGAAGAAAGAAAAACGAGAAAAGAAAGATAAGAAGGAGAAGAAAAAGTCTAAGAACAAGTTAACAGCAGATGGGTACGAGGAAACAGATGGGATAACTACACCTTCGAAAGAGGAAGTGTCGCCATCCCAACTAGACACTCCTGTTAATGCCAAGGTATGTTGATGACCTTTTTTATCATCATAGTAATTTGTTGTATACTTTGCAAAAACAATTGTTGATAAAATTTAATTGAGAATTATTTATTAAAGATGTAAATAACTATATAAACCTGGTTTAATGTCCAGTTTGTTTTAAAATTGATTTCATGAGAATGATTGTTAATATTAAATTGATTTTCATTTCAGCCTATGTCAAGTTACAGATTATTAGCAGAGAACCAAACTGTCAAAATGGTAAGAATTTTTTTTTAAGCTACTGAATTCCATATATAACCAATACAATGAAAATTGAACACATTTACTGTATAACTCTAACTCTAGCCTATTTAAAGACACATCAAAGTGGAGGTAATGCATTAGGAGAGTTATACCTTATTGTGAGGTATGATTTAAACCCACCATAGTGAATAAAAATTACTTAACTACTCTCTGTAGGCTTCTTGACACTAGAAATTTCTTTTATTCTGCCATTTATAACTTTATTCATATTTGTCTGTTTACCAATTAAGAGTATATAAATTATTGAAGGCATTGTTTTATTTCAGACATGTGAAACTCGAGTTAGTCCCCAGAGAACAGACCAAATAGTATTGTCAGTTGTTTTTACCAATCTAACCAGTGACCATATAAAAAGTCTAGAATTCAATGTAATGGATACCTTAAATACCAAACTTATCCGTGGGGTGAGTAATGTGTTTTGTTACTAAAATATAAGATAAATAAATGTTTTATCTTCATGTTGATTTGTAGAGCAACTGGTAATTATTGGTTAGTTATTTAGGAAAACCAGTTATCTGGACTGACTTACAATATTTGACCAAAGATGTGTTGAAATTAGTATTAGAACAAAGTATAAAACAAAATCTTTGTTATTCTTCTTTGATGTTTTACTGTTGAATCAACAATGGATATATTTTAATGTCAGATGATATTATACTTGAATTATAGGAAAGAACACTTTTTTTGTATGAAATTTTTTTTTAATCAATGCTCAATTTGTTACATTTGAAACATTAATATGAAAACTCTAATCTCATGTTGTTTTCTTTGGATACTTTTGAATTTTATGAATATAATATCCTTTGGTAGTTTGATTATAAGACATCATATTTACAGATTGGTCAGAATACACATGATGCTGTCCAGGTCCCTTTTGTGCTTCCAGCAGGGGTCAGTAATGAAGGCCAGTTTGCTTTTTCTGTACAAAGTATAGTACAACCATCTAAAATGAAAGGAACTCTAACATATATGGTGAAGGTAAGGACATCAGCTAACATTTCTCATAAAACATTGAAGTATAATAAATATACATGCAGCACTGTCAATTTTGACAGCAATATATGTATTTCTGATGTAGAAAAATGTTTAATTCAAACTTGAAAATGAAATTTTTGTGTATTTTTTTTCCATTCACTACTCAATTTATCATCATTGTTTTCAAGAAATATAAGTACATGTATATCAATTTTCACACTTGGAATTATTTTGCTGTATTTTAAGTGTATAAAGATTTTACAATGCTTTAGTATATCTCACAGTGCAAGACATCCTTTGTCATACACAGCAAAAGTGATCCTTTTACAATTCAATAAGATTATTAGTAATTGCATTATGTGTGTCACTGCGAGAAATTTTGAGTGAGTAAATGAGTGTATTGTTATGATAGTTGCATTTATCTGTTACAGACTGAAGAAGGCTCCACACATGATAAACTAGATTTCCGTCTTGAAATTCCTTGTAGTGCTTTCTTTGTTGCATTGCCATGTAAAGGGTAAGATATGTTAATGTAAATATTATATCTGTTTTGTAAAAAAAAATAAAGAAATCTCTTGCTTCATTTCCTCACATTTTCAAATTTAGATGATTTTCAATGACTGTAGGTTCAATACTGAATTTATTGAGTCATTTGAATAAAATTGTATTATGCAAGCCTCAGTGAGTTTAATAATGAATTAAGTAATCAAGCTATACAAAAATAGTACTCTTTTTATCACATACCCAAAATTAGAAAAGTTTAAAGTAAAAAATAATCATTTTTCATTGACCCCAATTCATTTAGCATACTGGTATGTTTACGCTTATAAGTTTGAATAATGCATATGACACCACATTATGATATATGCACGGCCGTGCCATACCGTTTCTATGTAGTTGGAAAAGCAGCAAGGGTATGTGATAAAAAAGTAATATTAAGATAACTTATGTATGAATTCAGTCCAATAAAATAACAAAAGGAACAAAAACCTGTTCATTATCTAAAGTGTGTGTTATAAATTATGAGAGGCAAACTTTTGAGTAAATTAATTGTTAAATTAAAAGTAACTAATAAAATTAACTTTGATGATTTGACATATTAGCTTCCTACCTTTCCTTAGTTTGTTATTTAAAAATATTTGTCTTTGATTATTTAATAGTTATTACTTCCATCTAGAATAGTGAATGATATGCTTTTTGTGTGTGATATTGTTGAAGAATTATTTTCTACATGCTAATTTGCTTCTTCAGGCCAGACTTTGCATCATTATTGGGTTCCGGAGATCTTACAGAAAAGTCTACTTTAAAATGTACACCACTAGATCCAAGCTTTGATGTTTCCTTGCTTAGAATTTGTTTCTTTAATCATTTTAAAGGTAAGTCAGTTTTGGTTTATTTATCATTTATAAATACCTTAAAATGCATAGTGTGTGCTCTTGATTTTATTATCTTTATGCACGGAAGAGGAATGTATTGTATTATTTATGTTTAATGATATGCAGTCAACATTTAAATACAGATATTGAACAGCCTTGCATATATGTTACATGATATCATTTGTGATGAACAAAGCATGAACCATAAAGTCATTTTATTCAACTCGTTCAAATAATTAATTGCCGAAGCTACAGCTAAGAAACATGTTTTAAAGAGTTTTTTCTGACAAGTCTGTAATAGTCATTATTAGAATAAATGGTGAAATTCTGATTTTGAATAAATATTATGTTCTTTATTTTACAGTTGTTGAAAAGGTTGATAACAGTGCCTCACTATACAGTCGTTCAATACAAGGGCATCATGTGTGTTTACTAGTCAAAAATGTAAGTCAGCATATCAACTCAATTAATATGAAAAGCTTAGCACTCAGCACTATGAAAATAGTGCTTCTACCAACCAATCTTTGATCATCATGTTACTTGATGGGATGGGTGGGGTATTGTCTGTAGCAGGATATTGTAGTGAAGAAGTTGGGCATTGTACTGCAAAGCAGACACTGACCAATATCAAAATATGGGTATATTAAAATTCCATTTCATTTAAAACTTAACTTGTGGTTTTATCAGTGGTATATTGATATGGCGTTATATATGGAATGGCCCTATCCAAACTTCCATCCATTAGCCACATTGATGTCCACTCAATAACTTGAGTAGAGAGAATAGTCATAGCCAGCAGGTGACGTCTTGTGATTTTGATGTCAAGGTCAACATAATTGTTCAAAGTACTTGTCCACTCAATTACTTGAGAGGAAATAAGCCTAGGTTTGTGAAACATGAGAGGGACATACAACGGAGATCTAATGATTTGAAGGTTGATAGGTCAAAAGAGTCTTACTTATTGGAAAATCCTTGTCCAGTCAATAACTTTAGAAGGATGAGATTACATTAAATTTTGTGAAACTTGATAGGGACATTTTCTATGAAGTTGATGGCCCCTATTAATTTTTATTTCATTGTTTTAAGGTTATAGTGACACTTGTCTAAAACTCTTGTCCAATCAATATGTTGTTTTGGTTGTTAAATTTCTTTTTTTCAAATGAATGCTATCACATTTTATCATTGTACATCTTAGGACTAAACATACTTTTGCAATATAACAATCCCTTGTGTTTGATATTACTACAAAATTATGGTGGTTATTTTTCAGAATGGTGGTGAATTAACAGTGGATGGTAAATGTTCCGAAAGTTCCCTCCTATCTAATTTATTAGATGATATCAAAACTACGCTAACAAGTGACATATTGTAGCAGTGATATGGTGATAAATCAGGGTAGTAAAGCAGCTTGTTATATAGACAGAAAGTAGTTCCATATAAACTTGATGACTATGCAGTAGTCGGTACAAACATCAAGGAACATTTGTTTGTAGAACTTAAAATAAATAACAATGTATGTGTAATTTGATGGTCAGACAATGATTTCAGTATGATTTAAATAAGCATCAGGCTTTTGTAGCATTTATAAAGGATGAAAATAGAACTATAATTCCCCCATTATATTCAGTATTATAACTTGATGTTTCTTGTGATTTTCACTATTTTTATAGAATAATAATCCTTCATTAAAAGATTTCAAATGAATTGGTACTTTGGTATATTGATGATCATCAACAAAAAAGATAACACGTGTGTACATTTTAAATTTAAACTGCCTGATTTTATAACGAGAACATACTTGAAAACAGATGTTTTATATCCTACTATTTTTACAGTTAAGATACATACAAAAAATACCATCTGGTGAATTCAGTTATGCATAAATTTTCCTCCTGGAATTTAAAAAGTAAATAAATAGCCAGATAAGAATTATAAAGTGTTTATAAAATAATAATGTTTATTCTTTATATGTGAAATAAGTTAAATGAAAGGGAAATTTATTAATGTACAAGCAGTGCATACTCACACCATATGTTACATGTTTTAGCCTAAATCCTTATATTATGTGTGAAGGTATTGGTTAACTCCCTTGTTTAATGTATATTTGTTCAAGTTTCATTACATTGATTAACATAATGATTGCATTTAGTGTCTAGATTATTTCCATATAACACTTTTAGTCATTTAAAAAAATATATTCCATATAAACAAAATGTGTTACCATTAAACAAATTTGTGATAATCATTTACCTTGTGTAAGCTTGTGAAAGATTTAATAAATGTTATATTTATTTGTGCAAGTGTTGTACAGATCAAATATATGTATTATTTGTATATCATGAATTAATGTAGCAATATTGTCATAATAATATGTATGTAAAATTTCAGTTTGAATATTGGATGTTAGATTGTAATATAACTTCATTACCTATATGTTAAAGTGCTGCCTTTTTGTTCTGCCAAAATGTTCCTGAGATAAGCTTGAATAAGTTATTCCAGTCATAAGCTATGTATTTGTTTTAAAGTATATATAACTAATAATTGCAATATTTCATTGCATTTAACACAATTTGAAAGTAAAATTGATAACAACATTTATCATTTATTTTTGTTTTAGGTGAGAATTAAGCTTATGATTTTAAATTCTTGTTATTGTCCTTTATTAAAAATTGTACCACTATAACGTTTTCATCTTGGCATCATGGTTTTCTCATCAATTTTGCAATTCTTTATTCAAGAGTTAATAGCTCATTTTAAACTTCTCAATTAGGAACAAATTATATTCCCTATATTATATATGTATACCAAAGATTAAACAATCACTAGATGATCTGTTTGGAGAGGTGTCACAGTAAATATACTAGTCTACATATGATGTAGTACTTTAATGCCATATAAATATGTTAATATATTATTGTCACAGGGCAACATCTCAAGTTTTCTATACTCTGGACTATTTTTGATCTATTTAGTTTTTTCTCATTTTCATGTTTATTATAGTCTGTGTAAAGATATTGTAAAGCTGATATACTAAATACCACAGGACCAATGACAATATAATATGTTCAAGTATGAAACCTTGTTGATAATTAGTGTTTCGATGACAGGACATTCATAAACAAGAAGAGTATGAATTCTGAATGCGATATATATATTTAGAATTAAAATGTACAATGTACTAGTAATAGAAATAAGTCCCAAATAGATTATTATGAGTAACTCATATAATTATAGTGAAGTCTAGTTCATTAGTCAATATTGGTGCATGGTTACCTAGGAAACCTAGAACCTACATAAAGTATAGTCATACTCGTTTTCAGATTATCACCCTTTCATTTACTTTTCATTTTAGTTTGGGTCCAAGAAAGATGCTCATGTTATTGGAATGGTTAATATTTAAATACAGATTATATAAAAGTAAAGTATTTTATTCATTGCTATTCCATATTATATTGCATGTAATTTCAAGGTATGTTAGGGTTTAATATATAGAATAAATGTAGAAATTATGATATCTTAAAGTAGCCTTCTGTACTGGTCATTGATAATGGTCGCATCAAGTATAATTAGCTAGGTTAATACTCAGAGGGAATTATCTCATCTGATAGATCAACTGTCACCATAGTAACCCAAGTAATATAAACAGAAAATAATGTTTAAAAATTTAGATTTTGAATTCTCAGTCATCTTTCAGATGTGTGAATGATATATACTACGAGAATCCTTGCTTAAACAAATGTCATTTTACCAATTTATGTGCAATCTTTTTTTGTTTGTTGTTAATTGTTTTATGTTATGTATATATTGTATGTTAATGACGTGTAGTCAGTGTAATTAAGATATGATGATATATGTGTGATGATTTTGTGAATTGTGTAATGTTATACAGCCAAATGCTGATAAAGTTCATTCATGTGAGAAATGTTATTTGATAAAATAATAAGTTTTCAATTCTAAAATATTAATGATTTATTGTCTGCATATTTGTCTGTTTTTGATGCTTTCTGATTTTTATAATAAGCTTTTTTCTATACTTACAAAAAGATCATATTGCAAATTCAGCTCGTTCTTATTTGAAACAAAAGAAAATGATAAGGGTCAGTATTATTTTAATAAAAATCCCTGGAAGGTTCAGGACACTGTATTCAGATATAGGAACATTTCTAGTTTATTATTGGTAATTTTCTTATTGAAGATTACAATGCCAAATGAAATTAAAACATTTTCGGCATCTTGAATTTTGATTACATATCAAAAAAATAATTTTTTATCTACTACATAATACATTGTGATTATAGCATATACTATATTACTTACAGCAGGGTATATGTCCTAAAAGAATTGATGATAAATGAATAATTGTAATTGAAAATGTAAAGAATTTGTAGATAGTTAAAACATTTACTTGTTCTGTATGATTACATTTTGAGATCACATTTATGTGCTTGTTTACATGCTTATTTTATGAAAGAATAAAAACTAGATTTATATGACCACATTTCTCTTGTTTATTTATTTTTTTATAGAAATATATTTTAACATTTTCCTTTAACATTGACAATAACATGTAATGATAAAAAAGGGATATTTAGATAGCATTGTGAAGAGAAAAATTTAAGACTTTAAGACTGAGATAGTGACAGTATTAGCATGGCGCAGGAAGGTATCCTGCAAAGACTGAGATTGGAACTCGGTTTGGAAAAAATGGAAGGGGGCAGTAAGTCCTCCCAGACTATTACTGGAAGCTATAAGTCTTCTATTTCATAATCCACAACCACAGCTAGTGACGATGATACCACAGAGTCTGGCACTAGTGGTAGGCCATTAAGCCCTACATGTACAGTGAATAATTCTGACACTGCAAACATAGAATTGTCAACAATCATGACTTTTCAAAGGCAACAAGCTGAAATGCTGAAAAAAAATGGTTCAATGAAACAGACAATGTGCCAGATTTCTGGGAATATGGCGGATGATGCCAGTGAAAATGAAGAGCATGGTGGAATTTCCCCAAAAAGTTACTCTGCTGACCGATCAGAATCTGACCCGAGTCAAGGTCAAAAAGGTTGAAGAAAACAACAAGTGCTCCATTTTGGGACAATGTGCAGCCTCATTTTCACTATCAGAGATGAAGGGGTTGTCTGTGTCTGTTACTGTTTAAGTGGAATTATCCTGGCAATTGGTCAGAAAAGTTGTTTTGATGACTTTTAGGTCAAGTTCGAATATGGGTCAAAAACTAGGCCACACAGTACAAATGAAATGGGATTGAGCCTTCATAGTCAGGTGAGAGATAAAAGGGCAATCATGACCCTTTTGTCTAGTTGTCTTTAAAACAATTTGATAAAAAATCAATGATTTTTTCCTTCTGAGTTATGGTACAGTTTACATGCAATTAACATTGAAGGTAAATTGTATAAAGTTTCATGTTCACATTAACATTGAAGGTAAATTGTATAAAGTTTCATGTTCACATTACAGTTTGTTAAAAATTTTAGTAGTGTAAAGCCAATCATTGTAATATTTTAGTTACTATTATTTTAAAAAAAGTCTGATGCAGACAATCTTTCTTTAAAATAGATTTTATAATAAGTTTATATATTATTTCTAATAATTTTTTATATGTGTTTAACCATGTTTGTTTTAATTACTTGGTTTTTCATCAAATGAAAATTAAAGCCTAAATTTGAAATTGTTTGATTGTCTATTTTTGGTAAATTGTTTTGAACAACTTTTATTAAACAGTTTATGCAATTAAACATGACGTCTATTTTGAAAATTTGCTCAAATGCACAGATTTAAGACATTGGAATTAGACACTGTTAAAAATGGTGCAATTTCATCCAAACTTTACAGGAATGATCAGTACCAAGTTTAGTTGTGCATTTTATTGGCATTTTCCAGTTTTATTGTTTTTATGCATATAGTTGCCGCTTTGACCCTTCCTCCGTCTGTCTGTTCATCCGTCCGTCAGCTATTCTTTTCCGGGACATATCTATGAAACCCTTAAGAGATATCAACATAAAACTTTATAGGTAGATAGCTCTCATTGAGTAGAAGTGCAGTGCAAAAGAACCATAACTATGTTTTGCCTAGTTTTGAAGTTATTGCCCTTTGTTCATTTTTATCTTTGAACTATCTCTATAATTATAAGAGATATCAACATGAAACTTTGTAAGTAGATAGATCTCATTGGGTAGAAGTGCTGTGCTAAAGAACATTAACTCTGTCTTGCCTAATTTTGGAGTTATTGCCCTTTGTTCATTTTTACACTTTGAACTTAGTCAGGGTCATAACTCAAAAATTATAAGAGATATCAACATGATACTTTGTACGTAGATAGATTTCATTGGGTAGAAGTGCAGTGCAAAAGATATAGTTGCCGCTTTGACCCTTCCTCCGTCTGTCTGTTCATCCGTCCGTCAGCTATTCTTTTCCGGGACATATCTATGAAACAACAAGAGATATCAACATAAAACTTTATAGGTAGATAGCTCTCATTGAGTAGAAGTGCAGTGCAAAAGAACCTTAACTCTGCCTTGCTTAATTTTTGAGTCTTTGGCATTTGTTCATTTTAACACTTTGAATTTTGTCTGTGACATAACTCTGATACTACACAAGGTATACTTTCCAGTGTCCAAAACCTATTCGGGGAGCATCACCTGTTTCAACCTGTTCTTGTCAGAGTTATGGCCCTTTAATCATTTTTTTTAAAAGTTTTTTTCTGCCGTACTCCTTTACAACCAATTATGCAATATGAGTGAAACATTACAAGATTGATTGTTACCTCAAGTTCTTGTGCATAATGGTGCTTCCAGTTGAATGATTTTTGGGTGAGTTATGGCCCTTGAATAAAAAAGGTGTTTTGGCATGTTAATGATTTTTAAAAACGGCTTGTATTGTAGTTAAATTTGCCCCTGGCGGGCAGGCGCCGTCCAATTTTGTCTAGGAGCATATCTCCTACATGCATAGAGGAATTTAAATGAAACTTCATAGAAATGTTCACTATCAGAAGCTGTGAAGTGCACATGAACCAAGTCAAAGGTCAAGGTCAAACTTAGAGGTCATTGAAAAGCGCTTGTCTGGAGCAAAACTTCTACATGCATAGAGGGATTTCGATAAGATTTGGCACAAATGTTTAGCATTGCAAGGCAGCGTCACAAAATTTAGGTCCCTGTGGCCAAGGTCAAGGTCACACTTAGGGGGTCAAAGTTCAGATGAAAATATGAAAGTGTGTTATTTAGTCATCATTTACTGAGGGAATGAACTAGTAAAATCTTTAAAAACATTCTTGTTGGAAGGTACAAGGCTGAGAGTTTTGATATTTGGTATATTATAACATCTATATTAGTACTCTACCATAGTTGGTCAAATTTGCCCCTAGTGTCAAAATTGGCCTTGACTCCGGGGTCATAGGTTTTCCTTATATGTATAATAGTAAAAACTTAAAAAATCATCTCTGAATTGACAAATTTAAGAAGCTAGAGGTTAGATATTTGGCATGAAACATTGTGTAGTAAATTTCTACAAACATTGTTCAAATTATAGTCCTGGGGTCAAAATTGGCCCCACCCTGGGGTAAATGATTTTCATTTATGTACATATAGTAACAATATTTCCTTATTATCCCATTTTTATCCTCAGATGATTAATATCCTAAAATATTGACATGAATAAACTATCATCATAAAATATGTTACTTGACCAGAAAATGAAATATTTCATAAGTCTAGCATAATTTGTGACTTGGATATTTGCATTTTTAAAAAGTGTATGTCAGTCCTGTGACTGATTAGCAGAAAATTTCGATGAAAAGTTGGTAAAATAGAGAGAAATAGAATCTGTAAAGAAAGTCCAAAATGGCAGAATTGAAAATGTTGCAGGCTCGGTTTGATTGAGCCTGTTCATGGACAGTACTGGAAAGTGCAACCTACTGTCCACGCCCCTAGCACCAGCTTAAGCAGAATTCAACATTTAAACATGAAATGGTAAAATTTGGAATTTAGAAACATCCGCAGATGTGTTCATACGTCGGTTATCAGGGAACCTTCAATGTGACACTTCAGTGTATGGTCGCCAAGTAACAGAAGACATGTGCCCTAAAAGAGAAAACAGTTTAGGCGGAACTAAACAAAATGCAATTTTGAAAGGGAATCAGAGGTTATATCAAGCCTGCGTATCACAGATTATTAAAGACGTTAAAAGACAAAGTTAAAAAGCAGGCAACATATCCTAAGGGTGATTCAACATTATTCAATTAGGAATATTGGAATCACCCAACTAGTTGAAACTAAAATGTACCACAGTCACAACAATAATGTTGTGCTGAACGATATTTAAGAATCGGATATATAATTTAATTAACATCTAAAAAAAAAACTGATGTCATTTTGCAAAATAATTGGATTGCTAATCCTATCTATATAACAAGATCAGTTTTTTGGTGTCAAGCACTTCAATCTGCTAGAAAAGCCACCTCTTTAGCTTTTAAGGTTGAATTAGGGACCATTTCTCATAATGTAGATCTATATGGGAAAATCAATGCGAGATTCTGACCAAGATGTTAATTTAGTTCCATATGGCCGTCAAGGGAGACAATTATTACGAAATATGTCGAGAAATCAAGCGAAAGGACTTATATCAACTATTTTGAGCCATCTTAAAAGGAAGAAACTTAAAAAGGAGCAAATAAAGCAAGAAATTGTTGGAACTGATTTTCATGGCAACAGATATATTTTAAAGCATGCAGGTATAACAGCTGCCTTAAGATGTCATTAGTTTCCGCGACTTACTCTTGACTTAGAATGGTCCCCTATGGTACCACTGTTCTTATTATTTCCAGCAAATTGTACAAATAAAAAGAACTTATATTTACTATTTTATTGAATTGTGTTTACCCGTCGTATTTTGACTTTAAAATACACATGTCATTCATAGAATAACTCAATGATTTTAATTAGAAACATCTATGGTCGGTCAGCCATGTTGAGAATGGGAGCTTATACGGAGAGCACTATGGTACCGTGGTATGTTAATTGATGGCCCTTTGTGGCTTCAGTATAATTTTTTGTAACAGAATTTGCTGTCACTACAGTTTCAGCAGACGACCTTCACTTGTCGGAACATGAAATTTTAAGTTTAACAGTTATATATGGGGTAAAGTAAAGAAGTTTTTTCAGCACACACAGGCAGCTTTGGATTTTCCTATGAATGACAGAATTTATTTGAAATGAAAAAATTTCTAACAATTTCTATCCAAATTCACAAAAAGCAGCACTTCCACTTTCACATTAATGGTGGAAACAGTATTTGGTGGCATTCAATGTGTAAAGAAACAAATTGTCTGATTACATCGGAATTGGCAAGGACGCGGTACCTGCGGGGACTACTATACTCAAAATTTATGTAATAGATCGATAAATTTAAAACGGTTCTTTTAAAACAACGCATTATTTATTTTGTATTTATTTTGCACATTGTAGCCACAGGCGTTTGGCACAAATGTCTTGTCAACAATGGTCAAATTATCATACAATAATGATAATAATCTCCCTTCAACAGAAGGTCAGTATAAACAAGCAGAAATATCTTTTGTTTTGCTTACAGTTACGATCATTCTTCCTTCATATTGTCTTAAAAAGATATTTCCCTGTGTATCAGGCTAAAAAATACTGTAACTGCAAGTGCATTGCTGAAGAACCATAACTCTGTCTTGCCTAATTTTGGAGTTATTGCCCTTTGTTCATTTTGACACATTGAACTTTGTCTGGGACATTTCTCTTAAACTATAAGAGATATCAACATGAAACTTTGTAGGTGGATAGATTTCATTGTGTAAAAGTGCAGTATTAAAGAACCATAACTCTGTCTTGCCTAATTTTGGAGTTATTGCCCTTTGTTCGTTTTTACACTTGAACATTGTCTGGGACATTACTCTAAAACTATAAGAGATATCAACATGAAACTTTGTAGGTAGATAAGTCTCATTTAGTAGATGTGCATTGCTAAAGAACCATAACTCTGCCTTACCTTATTTTGAAATGATTGTCCTTTGTTTTTACTTTTGTCTGGGACATAACTCTAAAACCATAAGAGATATCAACATGAAACTTTGTAGGTAGATAGATCTCATCGGATAGAACTGCAGTGCTTAAGAACCTAAACACAGCCTTGTCTAATTTTGGAGTCATTGCTGTTTGTTCATTTTTACACTTTGAATTTTACCTGGGACATAACTCTGAAACTATAAGAGATATCATCACGAAACTGTATAAGTAGATAGGTCTCATTGAATAGAAGTGCAGTGCTAAAAACCATATCTCTGCCTTGCCTAATTTTGGAGTTATTGCCCTTTTTTCATTTTTATATGCCCGAAAGGGCATATTATGTTATACCCCCTGGCGCCCGTCTGTCTGTCTGTCCGCACTCACAGGACAGTAATTATGTGGCTAGAGGAACAATAGGTAACTGTTCTTTCTCTTTGATGTCATTCATTCCTTAATGCTTTTATGTGGCTATTTTCTTTTGTGTGGCTAAAAAGAACAAAAGAGAGAACAATAGAGTAGCCACATAATTACTGTCCTGTGAGAACGTCCGTCCGTCCGTTAGCAATTTGGTTTCCGGAGCATAACTTAAGTTCCATTTGGCCCACAATGTTCAAACTTCATAGGATGATTGTCCATATCGGGTAGAAGACCCCTATTGATTTTGGGGTCAAAAGTTCAAAGGTCAAGGTCACTATTACCTTAAAACTGAAAACAGTTTCCGGAGCATAACTTAAGTTCCATTCGACCCACAATGTTCAAACTTCATAGGATGATTGTCCATATTGGGTAGAAGACCCCTATTGATTTTGGGGTCACAAGGTCAAAGGTCAAGGTCACTATTACCTTAAAACTGAAAACAGTTTCCGGAGCATAACTTAAGTTCCATTTGGCCCACAATGTTCAAACTTCATAGGATGATTGTCCATATTGGGTAGAAGACCCCTATTGATTTTGGGGTCACAAAGTCAAAGGTCAAGGTCACTATTACCTTGATACTGAAAACAGTTTCCAGAGCATAACTTAAGTTCCATTTAGCCCACAATGTTCAAACTTCATAGGATGATTGTCCATATTGGGTAGAAGACACCTATTGATTTTGGGGTCAAAAGGTCAAGGGTCAAGGTCACTATATCCTTAAAACTGAAAACAGTTTCCGGAGCATAATTTAAGTTCCATTTAGCCCACAATATTCAAACTTCATAGGATGATTGCCCATATTGAGCAAAAGACCCCTATTGATTTTGGGGTCACTAGGTCAAAGGTCAAGGTCACAATCACCTAAAAACCAAAAACAGTTTCCGGAGCATAACGTAAGTTCTATTTGGCCCACTATATTCAAACTTCATAGGATGATTGTCCATATTGGGTAGAAGACCCCTATTGATTTTGGGGTCACAAGGTCAAAGGTCAAAGTCACTTTTACCTTAATACTGAAAACAGTTTCTAGAGCATAATTAAAGTTCCATTTGGCCCACAATATTCAAACTTCTTAGGATGATATTCCATATAAGGTAGAAGACCCCTATTGATTTTTGGGTCACAAGGTCAAAGGTTAAGGTCTTTATTAATAACTGAAGTATTAATCAACCTACAGCTGTAAATTTTTATAGGATGAATAGCTAATTCCCATGTCTTACAAATGCTTCATCCTTACTAAAAAAAAAAAAACACTTTCGGGCATATAATGCTCCGCCTAGAGGTGCTCTTGTTTTAATACTTTCCTGTGTCCAAAACCTTTTCGGGGAGCATCAGCCGGTTCAACCGGTTCTTGTTTTCAGTATTGTTAGAGTAATTGCCCTTGACTTAATATAAGTTTGCAATTTGTTCATGCATAGCTCAAAAAGTATTCAACCTGTAAGCCTGAATGTTTACAAGAATGTTGCTCAGCATGTGTACTTATGCACCTTGGGATTTGCTTGTAGATTTATACACAGGCGTCCGGTAAGCTCAGTAGGTAGAGTGTTGGACTGTGAATCGGGCAACCCGGGTTCAATTCCCAGATGGCACAGGTCACTTTCGTTGCAATTGATCATGAAATCCTTTCTATTGTCATTAGCACTGTACCTCTGCTCTGGCATGTACAGAAGTTTCAGTTCCTTGCGAAAGTGTGAAGGCAACTAGTACTGGTAAACTGCTTGACAGCCTGCCCAGGAACAATGCAGTGGTTGAACTGTGCTGTGGTGAATTTAATACTGCTTACTGTCTTGATCCGGAGTGAAAACTACCAACACCACCTTATGGATTTATTCAGTATTTGTTAAGTTCTTGCCCTTGACTTAGTAAAAGATCTTTAGTTTTCAACTTGTGTAGCCCAAAAAATATTTGACTTAGAGTCATAATATTGACAAAACAGTGGAGTGTGGGGTCCTATGGACACATTTCTAGTTTGAATTAAGACATTTTCATATCTTCATGTACAAACATCGCACAATACATGTAGATATATCTTTCAGTAACTGTTAAAAATATTGAGCCTAATTTATCTTCATTTGCGATAAATGAAATACCAAACTTGAAAAAATTACCTTAAAATTGCGAGGTCAACATGTTTTGTGCCAGCAAAACTTCCAAATCAACCATTAGTAAACATACATTTTGCCCCTTTCCATTCATATAAAAGTATTCCAAGCAGGTTAAAATATTGAATTCAACTGAAATATGCCTTTTGTGGACGAATTGATTTCTCTAAATTATGCAATTTAAGCTCAATTTTTTCACTGTGTACATGTTGCCACCATTTCCCCAGTGATCATCAAGAATAAAATTACTATCCAGCACCCATTTACTACTCATGAAATTACAATCCAGCACTCATTTACTAGATATAATAAAACAAGGTTATTAAAATCGTCAATTTTTTCATTTCATCTAATGTGCCATTTATTTCAAAGCTTATTAATGTTTACTACATGTTAAATCTTTCACTAGCTATGGTGCATACTGTGAAAAATATTGTTTTGATTACGAAACATAATTACTTTCTAGTCTGTTCAGTTCATATGACTGATCGAGATACAATATAATTATGTACATTATTGTCATTTGAACAAGTTACACCACTTTAATAAGCTGTTTTTGAATATTTGATATGATTTTTATGTTTCTCATGTTTCCACGTGTGTAGTGCAACTTTTAGGCACCATACAACTTTGTCAATAGTAACATGTGGACACTGCAATATTTAGCCTTAAATGACCGCATGTTACTGTTTTTTTAGCTCGCCTGAGCTAGCTCAGGGTGAGCTTTTAGGATCGTTGAATGCCCTTGCAGTCTTCTGTTGTCCGTCCACATTGGTTTGTAAATAACACTCTAGTGGTCACATTTTTGCCTCAATCATCATCAAATTTTGTCAGGTTGCTTGTCTAGGTAATTGCATGGATGAGTTTGAACACGGGACATCTCGGATGAAAACTAAGTCACAGGACTTAAAAATAGAAAAACCTTGTTAACACTCTAGTGGTCACATTTGTGACTTAATTGTCATCAAAATTGGTCATGATGCTTATCTAGGTAATTACTCTGATGAGTTCGTACATGGGTCATCTCAGATGAAAAACTAGGTCACAGGAGCTAAAAATAGAAAAATCTTTTTAACACTCCAGTGGGTCTGTTTTGATTTGAAAGTTTGTTTTGATGATTTCTTGGTCAAGTTTGAATATGGGTCACCTTGGGTCTAAAACCAGGTCACACTGCCCAAATATGGACAAATTTTGTTAACACTCTAGTGGTCACATTTTTGACTCAGTTGTTATCAAACTTGGTCAGGATGCTTGTCTAAGTAATTGCTCGGATGAGTTTGATGGGTCAGGTGAGCGATCTTGGGCCATCTTGGCCCTATTGTGTTTTTCAGTAACACCAGTCAAAAAGAAAGATAATTCCATGTGGGGTTTATGCATTTAAAGGAATTTAAAAAAAGGAATGAAAAAAAAAAAATCGACTTACCGGTACTATTGAGATATTGCTCTTATCTAACTGGTATTTTTGAGATATATTTGACCTTCAAAAGAATTCCATAATTAACCTTTTATTAATAAAATAGCAAGAGAACAGTCTTCCATCAAATAAAACATATTTTAAGTAGATCTATAATTCTAGTTACTGAGAAGTATGTTGCAACAGAGGACAAAAATTCAACTCGTCCCCTTGTAATTACTATAGTAGAATTTAAGAGAATTTGATGCCGGACAAGTAGAAAAATGATGCCTGCACATTTGATTTAAAAGTTACTTGCCCTGCAGGATGAGTGACTCTGAAAATATTTCCATGCCTTTGCAAAAGAAAACCCATGCCAGTAATTATCAGTCTAACAGAATAAAAATGCGGTGTTTTGATTCAGTGTTGTGCGGTGTTCCAATATTCGTGTCAGTGGGTCTTTTTCCACGCTATATTCCCTGAAATTTTCAATAGAAACATACCCTTTTAACTTTAATATATGCTGAACCATTAACAATGGTCATAGAAACCACACATTATTGTTATAGCACAGGATTTTGTGACAAGCAAGATTAACAATGAATTGTTTCGAAAATTTGATAGAATAATTAAAAGTTGGAATTTTCCAATGTTTAGTGGTAAGATACATTAAAATTATTACATGCAATTTGATTAGCTAGCAATTTCTATTTTGTCTGGAAAGATCGGTGTATCAGTCAGAAGTATGACGTTGATGTTGCACGGAATAGTTGTCGTGAATGCCTTATCACCCTGTATACATGTATAGCAAACATTTGATATAAAAGTTACTTGCCCTGCAGGATGAGTGACTCTGAAAATATTTCCATGCCTTTGCAAAAGAAAACCCATGCCAGTAATTATCAGTCTAACAGAATAAAAATGCGGTGTTTTGATTCAGTGTTGTGCGGTGTTCCAATATTCGTGTCAGTGGGTCTTTTTCCACGCTATATTCCCTGAAATTTTCAATAGAAACATACCCTTTTAACTTTAATATATGCTTAACCATTAACAATGGTCATAGAAACCACACATTATTGTTAAAGCACAAGATTTTGTGACAACCAAGATTAACAATGAATTGTTTCGAAAATTCGATAGAATAATTAAAAGTTGGAATTTTCCAATGGTTAGTGGTAAGATACATTATAATTATTACATGCAATTTGATTAGCTAGCAATTTCTATTTTGTCTGGAAAGATCAGTGTATCAGTCAGAAGTATGATGTTGATGTTGCACGGAAAAGTTGTCGTGAATGCCTTATCACCCTGTATACATGTATAGCAAACAGATGCTGGATAGTAATTTTATTCTTGATGATCAAGGGTAGATAATGAGATTGTGTCACTCTGTAATATAAGTGTGTCATGCATGTTTGCTGTATTATATGTAATTCCGACTTATTCATTTTCAGACAAGGAATTAAATATAAAAGAGTCTCGTTTTGTTCTCCCATCAGAAGAAAATGCAATGATGTATAAAGAAAAGCTTGGCATGGGAGTGCCACCTGAGTGGAATGGTATGTAGAAATAATATACTTTTATACTAATTACTATATACTATACTTTGTAATTTTTTTCATTCAGGTTTATAAATGTAGTATGTCATTATCCTTTCATTTCTTGCCTGAGTGAAGGCTGTATTTACCTTTAATCTAATGTTCAATGAAATAAACATTGTTGTGTGTAGGATGAAATTTAATGATATGTAAAAAAATAAATAGAGGATATTTGTTTGTTTGTGTGTAAGATGAAATTTTATTTCATCGAGTGGGCTTTAAAAACAGTATTCTCACGAGTGGCGTAGCCACGAGTGAGAATACTGTTTTTAAAGTTCACGAGATGAAATAAAATTACATCTTACACAACAAACAAACAAATTTTCTTTTTATTTTATGCTAAAAAACAAGTTTAAACGAAATTTCCATAATATTAACATAAATATTAAAATTTGTTTCCCCATTGAGAGCCTCATTTCGTGCGAATTTCTCATTAAAAACAAGAAGTCTTGAGCTGAAAAATAAGTCCGACAATCAACATTAAATGACAGTGATATTATTTATTTTGTTTAAAAAATATGAATGATCGCTTGTTTTAATAATAAAAACAAACAATTCGTGTAGGAGAAAATTCCAACCATCCATCCATATTTCTGTTACTTACTGCGAATTTATATTAGACCTGGCTTTGTTAAATGTAAGCGGCAGCCATTTTTTAAAGTTGTGTATTTCACGGGAGGAAAATAATTGTGTTTGATTCAGAGGGATATCATTTGGAATTGTTAGTCATACACCTTTATAAAAGAAAGAAAACATATTTGAGGATTGAAACAGACAAAAAATAAGTGTTGACAGATGTGAAAACATGAAAAAAGCAGCTATGAAAATGGAAGACTTGGAACTTGCTCGGAATGCTGGGTGGTTTACTTGTTCTACGAGCTGTAGCTGTCATGGCTTTTCAATTTTTCATAAAGCATACGGCAGTTATTACTCGTAGGATACTTTAATATGCCCAAATGTCATCAAGAGCAGTTTGCATGTGGAAGGAATGTATTTTTCAGACTGTAAAAATGAAACAAAAAATTTAGAGACGAAATTTGGTGATTGGAATTTGAATGAATAGAAGTAAGTTTTCTTCTTTTTATTACTTTTGACGTTTAAGGTATTTATCAATTTCAGCTTTGCTTTTTATTTAAACAGCCTGACATTGTCAGAATTGTCAGCAAAAATAAAATTGAGGTACCACATGGGGAAAATCTTAAAAAAGTAGTTTCGTCATTGAAAAAAGTGAAATTATATTTTGATAATTTTCACTGTGAAATTACCAAATATAATTTTCACGGATAAATCAGTAATCCACTGAAAAGCATAAAATAAATAGAATTATTCAGAAATATCAGAGATCTACATGTTGCTTAAATATTGTCAGATTCTTTCATTTTAGTGCAAGAAAGGTTTTCAGAAGTTTTCACTAGGTATTTGTACTTTGGTTTGTGTGACTTCCTTTGGGAAATTAATGTTCCTTGATATGCAAAGTATTCATCTGTTTCAGAATATTTATTGCATTAGTTTAGTGTAAGTGTGTAACCTTAATACAGATGAAATTTTAAGAAATTCAAAAACATTACTTCAATTTACACATATTTACACTTGAAAATACTTTAAAAAAAACCCCAAAAAGTTGTTTAAAATCGGATAACAGTTCAACAATTTTGTATTTCAGCCACACAAAATATTCCTAAAGGTGTAAAGTTATTTGAGGATGGCACTTTGAATCATTTTAGCTTGTGTGTTTTGAAGAAAAAAGTCATATGATCACTGCTGCGTTGTTGTTGTTGTCATGCATATACTTTAATGTTGCCCATTAGTCAACATTTTAAATTAATTAGTTATCAACATGAAACTTGAAATACTTGCTTATCATGACAAGATGCATTTGTTACACAAGGAGCATAATTCTGAAAGCAATATGTTTTTATTTTTGGAGCTATTCCCCCTTTTAACTTGGAATAATTAACAGACAAGCATTAACACTGCATTCGATTCTCTTGTTATACTTAGAGCGATATACATGTACCTGTAATGATTGTTACAAATTATTTCAGCTTGGCTGCGATTTAGTCGAGTTAACCCTCCAACTGAAGAGGTAATTTGTTGTAAACTTTTTATGATAAGGATTTTACATTTCACAATAAAAAATGATATAGATATATTTTGCATGGTATAATTTTACTTTTGTGTTGTTAAGAGCAAAATGCTTCAAATGAGTTTTCTGATGTTAGATATCAAAGATAGTTCTACCAAAATAGCAAAACTTCCTTCACCATACAATAGTGGTGAACGGTTTAAACAAAGTTTTGACAATACCAATATAGATCTATTCATCATAATATGCCTTCAATTTTCATTTCTTTTTCACAGGGTTATGTCAATAAACAAGTTTATTCTCAATTATATGTGTTTAACAAGCAAATGAATCCGTATTATTCTATTTTTATTGTCTAGTATGCCTAGTTATGTCCTGAGTATTACATGTAAGTTAATACAATGTTATGTATGTTAGCTTATTTAGAGAGATGTTTTATTATAATGTTCTTAGATCATGTTTTTAAATATAATTTGCAAAAGATTTTTTCAAAATAAATATTTTAGGAGCTGGAGAGGAATAGAATAAAAAAGTTGCAAATACAGCAGAGGGTGAAAGAACTAGCAGAAAAAGAGAGAATGGTGAGAAATAACATTCTTTACATAATATTAATTTGTTAATCCCCTTCCGCATAGCGGAAAGGGGATTATAGGAATGGCCTCCGTCTGTCAGTCTGTCTGTCTGTCCGTAACACTTTTATGTCTGGTCCATAACTTTTAAACTGCTGAAAATCTTTCGAAACAACTTGGCTCAAGTGATCACCATAATAAGAGGATGTGCAGAGCGCAATAATTGGGTTGCTCACCCCAACGTCACACGTAAAGGTCAAATGTAAAAAAATCTTCAATTATAATAAAAAGTCTACATTTCGTGTCCGCTCCATAACTTTTAAACCGCTGAAAAATTTTTGAAATAATTTGGCTCAAGTGATCACCATAATGAGACGATTGCAGAGCGCAATAATTGGGTTGCTACCCCTAAGGTCAAGGTCACACTTAAAGGTCAAATGTTAAAAAGTTTTCATTTCATAATTAAAAGTCTACATTTCATGTCGGCTCCATAACTTTTAAACCGCTTAAATTTTTTTGAAATAACTTGGCACAAGTGATCACCATAATGAAACGATTGCAGAGCGCAATAAGTGGGTTGCTAGCCTCCTGGTCAAGGTCACACTTAAAGGTCAAATGTTAAGAAGTCTACATTTCGTGTCTGCTCCATAACTTTTTAACCACTGAAATTTTAAAAGATAACTTGACACAATTGATCACCATTATAAGAACATTTGCAGAGTGCAATAATTGGGTTGCTACCCCCAAGGTCAAGGTCACACTTAAAGGTCAAATGTATAAAAGTTTACATTGCTTGTCCCCTCCATAACTTTTAAACCTCTGAAATTTTTAGTCCCCTATCGGTTAACCGGAGGGGACTTTAGTTTTACCCTCTGTCCGAACGTCTATCTGTCCGTCTGTCAGTCCCTCCGTCTACAAAACTGGATCCCGCGATAACGCAAAAGTACTGAAAATATTTTAATGAAACTTGATATATGGATAGATGGCAGTATGGAGATTATGCACGTCTTTTTCTTTTCTTCCTATGTTGAAAATTCTGGTTGCTATGGCAACAAATAGACTGAAAATATGGCAAATTGTAAACATAAACTGGATCCAGTGATAACGCAAAAAGTACTGGAATTATTTTTATGAAACTTGAAATATGGGCAGTCTGGAGATTATGCACGTCTTATTCTTTTCTTCCTATGTTGAAAATTTCTGGTTGCTATGGCAACAAATAGACTGAAAATATGGCTAATTTTACACATAAACTGGATCCAGTGATAACGCAAAAAATACTGGAAATATTTTTATGAAACTTGACATATGGGTAGTTTTGAGTCTCGAGATTATGCATGTCTTTATCTTTTCTTCCTATTTTGAAAAAATTGGTTGCCATGGCAACAAATAGGCTTAAAACATGGCAAATATAACAATATTTGTGATTAGTCAAAAAGAGCTGAAATTTTTTATGAAACTTAAAATATGGATAGATGGTAGTATGGAAATTATACACATCACTTTAATCTTGACTGTAGGGAGTATATTGAGAGCTGTCATACGTCGGCAACCTTGTCAAAATTTTTGATTCTAGTTTTTCGGCTTTTTACTATAAGTTCTTTATTTCTTAAGTTATTTATTTCAAACTTTGAATATAACTTTCTAGTCACCAACCACATCATATGTGACAAGGTTTACACTCTAGCACAAAAATTATCAGAATTGCCTCCCTTAATATACTCAAATTTAGTAATTATTTTAATATTCTGATGTAATGAGGTACTATTATATCTATAAATATGTACTATTATATGTATAAATGTAAAAAGAATTTGAAATAAATGGGGTTACCAGTTGGGGCCTGAAAAAAAAAAAAAAAAAAAAAAAAAAAAAAAAAAGAATTGCCTCCCTTGAACTTAGAATTTCATGAAAAAAATGTTGTTTTTTTTTAAATTTCTTTATTGCTTAATGTATCTTAATATATGTTTCCTATTATCACTCAAATCATTTGTATGGAGGTTCAATACTCTAGCAAGACCATTTCCAGAATTATGTCCCCCTTGAACTTAGATTTTTTTCGAGAAATTGGTATGTTTTAAAAATCAATAAGGGTTAATTACTGGTCATGACTAGTCACTAGGTAATTGTGACCACAAAGGTTGTATGCAGCAATTTTATGACAAAGTGATTACAAATCTGACCAAATAATACAGTGAAAGTTGGGAAAACCGGACGGCTTTCGGACTGAGGGTTTTGTCCGGTTTTCTCAGCGGTCCGGTATTCTCAATGTCCCCTTCAGCTGTTCAGGATCTTATATTATAACAGAGCAATGACTTACAAAGGATGCTATATATTTGCATTTTCAAGATCATGTGTACGTATATTGCTAAATAAAGAAATGATAGAAATACAAAAAAATATGTTTTTATAGTTTTTGTCCCATTATTGCATATAAATACAATAACAATTTGGATTTAAATGAACAGCAGTTACCTCATAACGATCAAGTTCGAGTACATTCGCATATGTTTACATTTGGGTAAGGGATAATGATTTAACGAACATAGTTTACTTTGTTTGTTTATAATAAAAACATATTGGTCAGATTTTTAAAGTAGATCTCGGCAAAGTTTCACTGTCTTTAATTAATTTAACTTTGTCACTTTTAGACATATCTCGTCGAATTCGGCCATGGAATAGAACTTAGCGCCGATAAATGTCGTTTTCGTTGCGTTGTCATTTTAGGAAATGAATATACAAAAAGCAACACAGTAGAAAAATACTCTATTTTTTTATTCATACTGATTTTAACCGATCAATTCCTCAATGCATTTTGACATTTATATAAAACGGTAACATCTATACCTTACAATATATCAAACTGTGAAAAGAGACATTATAAACAAATAAGACAATCATTGTGCCGTTACCGCTCAGTTAGCGTATTAGACACAACCAATTGATAAGTACACAAGGTTATTCACACATTCGGCGTCCGGTATTGTCAGGGTAATCGTCTATATAATTGACTTTGTAGTCCCCAATCAACCGTCCGATATTCGGTTTTTACAGATTCCGGTATTGTCAATATTAAATACAATAGTTTAAAGAAGGGAAAATTTGGGACTGAATTATTCGTCCGGTATTTAGAGAGTTCCGATTTTCTCAGCGTCCGGTTTTCTCAAATTTCACTGTATATGCAAAAATTTTATGAATCATGTAGGCCTCATTAATCACAGCCATGACATAAGACCTTGAAATGTGTATACCAAAAGGATTTTTAGTTTAATAAAAATATATCAACCAAGGCAACTTGAGTTGTTGAGTAATTGGTCATACATACAAGTCATGGTCAATATGACATTGACGTTTGACACTTAAATCAATAGGGGTTATCTTCTGGCCAAGACCAATGCACCTGTGAAGTTTGAAGGTAAAGGGCCCATGAGTTGGGATATTGATCAGAAAGCGTTGTTACCTATAAGGTCAATGTGATCTTGACCTCTGACCCCTTAACGCCAAAAACCATTGAGGTCATTTTGTTAAGAAAAGCAATGCATATGTAAAACTTGAAGTTCAAGGGTCCATGGGTTGTCCAGTTATTGATATAAAAGCAGTTTGAAATACAAGGTCAATGCAACCTTGACCTTTGACCCCCTGACCCCAAAATCAATAGGGGTCATATACTGGTCAAGTCCAATGCATCTACCAAGTTTGAGGGCCAACAGCCCATGGATTGTCAAGTAATTGATCTGAAACTGTTTTTACCAACAAGGGCAATGTGACCTTGATCTTTGACCTTTGACCCCAAGATCAAAAGGGGTCATCTCCTGGTCATGAAGAATCATCATACCAAGTTTGAAATTCCTAGGCCTAAGCTTTCTTAAGTTATTGATAGGAAACCGTTTTTACCTACAAGGTCATTGTGACTGACCTTTGACCCCAAAATCAATATGGGTCATCTGCTGGTCATGAACAACAAGTTTGAAGTTCCTAGGCGTAAGCGTTCTTAAGTTAATGATCTAGATAAACTGCAATTTAATGGTCTGTGTGATGAACTTTTTTGATGTGCAATTCTGTGTGTTGATTATAGATGCTTCCCATTTGTTCAAATGACTGTACTAAGGCTAATGCCCTTTTACTTGTACAAAAATTTCATTTGTCCATATTCAAAAGCTGCATTGTGCATGAATTTCACTGTATAAGAATTCCTTTTAGACGTTCGTGGTTATAACATTCCCAAAACATAGGTAGAACATGTTCTTTTGACATGTTCAACCATTGAAGAAACATATTTCAATTATGGTTTGAACATGATTTGACTATGACCATTTCTGCAGGGAAGGCAGTTGACCAGTGAGTGCACACTGGTAGACACCTTTGCTCTAACTAGAGCATTATTTGTGAGTTACTTTTGTATCAAATATGCAAAGGTTAGCCCACATCATGGTCTTTTGGGGACATAGTTTAGTTATAAAATTCCAAATTTTAGCCCTAAAATTTCTATTATGTACCCTAAAATTCCTAATTTTAGCCCTAAAATTTCTAAAATATTGCCCTAAAATTCGCCCTAATTTTATGTCGGAGGGTGCTGGACAGCCTGCAACTGCCAGCACCACTGCAACCGCAACTGCCACCACCACCGACACCACCACCACAACCGCCACCACAAACACCACCACCACTGCAACCGCCACCACAACCATCACTGAGCAAAATGCGGTGGCTACCACAACCACCACTGCCGCCTCAAATACCACAACCTCCACCGCCACTGCAACTACAACCCCAACCACCAACACAACCGCCACCACAACCGCCACCGCCACCACAACCACCACTGCAACCGCCACCACCACTGTATTATAAATATATAAATGCGATTATATATTATATAAATTGTATATTTATATATACAAAATATATAGACAAAACTAATGTGACAAGACAGACCTATTAAATTTTTAAAAGGAAACGTTAAGATTTGTTCAAACATTTCTTTGTTTGCTTAAGAAAAAGTAAAAAGTCGAGCGTTGCCCCCGTCCGGCGGTGGCTCTTGTTACCTACAAGGTCAATGTGCCTTTGACTTTTGACCCATTGGCCCAAAAATTAAAGGGGTCATCTGCTGGTCATGAACAATCATCATATCTAGTTTGAAGTTCTGAGGCCTAAGTGTTGTTTAGTTATTGATCGGAAACTGTTTTTACCTACAATGTCAATGTGATCTCGACCTTTGACCCATTGACCCCAAAATCAATAGGGGTCATCTGCTGGTCATGAACAATCATCAAACCCTTTTTGAAGTTCCTAGGTCTAAGTGTTGTTTAGTTATTGATCAAAAACTGTTTTTACCTACAAGGTGAATGTGACCTTTGACCCCAAAATCAATAAAACTTTATTTCTTTTAAATAATTTCTTTATTTCTTAATGTATCTACTTCAAACTTCATATATATATTCTAGCTTGAGTTTTACAGAAGGGTTATAAATCTAGCGTCCATATTTCCAATATGATCTCCTTAATCTTTGCATTTTTCTTATTCATTCTTTAACTTTCTTATTTCTCCATGGATTTACTTTAAATTTAAAATAGACATTCATTTGTGATGAGATTTATAAGTCATGGGTTTCCATGATTTTTTTTTTCAGAGTGTCTTTCAGTCTGTCTGTCTGTCCATTCCTAAAAACTGTTTCCTAAATCACTTTTAAAGAACTTTTCCAACAAATTACTTAAAGTAGAGAAAAGTTGAAACATCAGTAAAACTGTTTAAAAAATATTCATTCTGAGAAAATTGATCTTTTGATTATCTGTTGTATAAACATAATTTCCTTACTAGGCAGGGAAACATTACTATGATATAGACAAATTAAGACTCCAAAGATTAAAGTTCATTCATGTCATTCATTCATTCAATGGCATAATTTATCACCAATGGCCCTTCAGAATGTTGCTGGAGTTCTAACCGGTAGGGGACTTATGGATTGCTTGCAATACTATGATATTTGCTTGGTTTAGTGTTGAAGAATTGGGCACACTCTTTCATTACTGCAGTGTCCATGTTAAAAATGTAATATTACTGTAACTTCGTTACATTTTTACCTGAAGTGTTAAAATATTTATATGCTGGCAGTAATCATGTACAATTTTACTATACCTGCTGAAATGTCAATTTATTTATGATATAATATGCAGTTTAAAGATCCTGTAACACAATTTTTTTATGGTTTTATAAAATAAATATGATGCTTAAATTAAGATTTATCAATTTTGTAAGTTCCAAAAAGCATTATTTATAAAGATATTACCGAATTTAACATTTCATGTAAATAAAGGGAGGTAATAAAAATTTATTTTCTATAAAGTCTACGTCAAATTTTTCAGTAAGAAATGAATGCATATATTTTAATGGTTACCAGTACATATAATATTTACAAATAGCAGTACATATTTTACATATTCTACAATGTTTCAAAATTGTTTTATAAGCATAATTATATACATATATATAATTTCACTTAAGTGTGGTATACAACCTCAATTACAACATACAGGATATTTAATATATTATAGTAATCTATTGAAAAAGCATGTTATAAATATCCATTTAATCATTCTTGTTGTAACTGAACATAGTTTACATGTCTATTTAATAGGAGAATCAGATAGAGGGTGATACAAAAAGTACAGAAATAACAGAAACAATATCTGGTGATACAACTAAAGGTACTGGCTTTTATACTAACTTTATATAGTAGAATTATAAATTTAACCAAATTTGTCAAAATCATCATAAAAATAATCTTGTGAGAAGTTACTAGAATCATACTTGAGGCAAATATTTCAAGTTAAACAACATAGTTGTACTAACATTCTTATAATCTTCCAAATTGGCCCTGCCCTGGACGTCACTTAGTTTATATAGACTTGTATAGGAAAAGGCATTTTAGTCTTCTGTTGTGAAGCTACAATGCCAAGAGCTTAGATTTGGCATGTAGCATTGGCTAGTGGACCTCTACAATAATAATTCAAGTCCAGACCCTGGTGTCAATAATGGCCCAACCCTGAGGGTCAATAAGTTTACATAGACTTGTATAGTAAAATGTCTTAAAACCCCTTTTCTCTGAAAGTACAATGCCAAGAGTTATGATTTTTGGAGCATAGAATCACCTTGTGGTCCTCTATAAAAATTGTATCAATTATGTTATATAGACTAAGACTGAAATAGTAAAACACATTTAATTAAATCTTATTGTGTGAAATTACAATGCCAAGAGCTTAGATATTTGTTCTGAAGCATTTCAAAGAAGACATGATGTCACATCTACAAATATTTTTTAAAAATTATACAGTTTGGGTAAAAAATGACAAACCCAGTGTTTCATCATTAATTTACTGACTTTAACATGAAAGTGTGACCTTTTCAGGTAATCATGGCCCTCTTGTTTGTAGTTACAATATATAAATAACAAAATTGGAAAATAAGAAATTGTATTGTTTACAGTATTTTTTTTTCCTTTCAGTTCCTTACCCAACATATGATGATTTACACCTAACACCTGGTCAAATGCCAAAACCACCGAAAGATTGACATTCTATCAACTATTGACATTTTAGATTAAGTTATTATATATATAGTTCTGATGATATTTTGAGTTTTTGTTAATACACAATTATTAAATCATACAAAAAAAGGTGAAATTGTGTTTTTAATTATAAGATATTTGTATGACTTGAAAACGAGTTTTTTATACACCCGTTTGAAAAAAGGGGATAGAGGAATTTCAATATTTAATTGTTCACCATTGTGAGGAGGAGTTTTGCATGCAAAATTTAGGTCCATGCATCCAAGGTCAAGGTCACACAGGTGTCAAAGATCAGATAAAAATATGAAAATGTATATTTGGACCATTTAGTCATCATTCATCGAGGGATTGACACACAATCATTATCATGACTACTGGTGTTAAACATGTAATTAAATATTAATTATATATGCAAGGTCAAGGTTACTAAAGAGATTTGTCCAGAGCATATCTCCTACACATATGGAGGGATTCTAATGAAACTTCATGCAAATGTTCACCACTATAATAATCAGTTTCATGCCCATAAACTAGGTCTCCAGGTCATTGTTACATTAGAGGTCATTGAATAACATTGAATTTTAAATAATTTTTTAGCCAGTTACAGCAAAAAAATAGCAAAATTCAGTAATTTGACCTTGAATTTCAATGTTATTTATGACTCAAGGTCAGTCTGATTATCTTGAAGGAACATTCCAAAGGACATTTTTGTGTCCCCACTATAAAGGGGGCAGTTAGATTTGCCCTTGTCTGTCCATCCGTTCCTTCATCCGTGTGTGCATTCTCCTGTAGTGTCGCATGTTGCTCTGAAAGTGCTTGAGCTAGTGTCAACAAAATTTACAGGAATGTTGATCAGCATGTCAAGTTGTGCACCTAGGGTTTCGAATGTGGATTAATTCAGTTTTGTTAAGAATTATTGCCCTTGACTTGGCAATTTTCAATTTGTGTTCAGCTCAAAAAGTATTTGACCTTGTTATGAAACTTAACAGGAATGTTGGTCAGCATGTGCCGTTATGCACCTGGGGATTTGCTTGTGGATATATTCAGCATTTGTAGAGTTATTGCCCTTGACTAAGTAAAAATTGGTCAAAGACAGAAATGGCCAGGTTGAATTTGTATACCAAATATCATGTGGCTGTGATGTTATGAAAATTTTCTACCATTCACCATAAATGTCGAAAATTTAACAAAGTCGGTAAACAGGAAGTCGATAAGCAACAGACCTAAAATCGAATACCACGGTAAGGGGCCGTGTGTTAATGCTGTATACCAAATATCAAGAGGCTGTGATATGTAGTTGCTGAGAAAATGTTACAAAAATTTCCTACCATTGACCTTTAATGTCAAAAATTTAACTAAGTCAGTTAACAAGAAGTGGAGGAGAGACAGACGTGAAATTGAATCCCACAGTATGAGGCCATGTGTTAATGCTGTATACCAAATATCAAAAGGCTGTGATACATAGTTGCTGCTAAAACTTTTACGAAATTTTCTACCATTGACCATTAATGTCAAAAATTTAACTAAGTCAGTTAACAAGAAGTCGATGTGCGACAGACCTGAAATCGAATCCCACGTAGTTGCTGAGAAAACTGTTACGAAAAATTTCCTACCATTAATGTTAAAAATTTAACTAAGTTGGTAAACAGGAAGTGGATGTCTCAGGATCAGATCTGAGTTAATGCTGTATACCAAATATCAAGAGGCTGCAATAAGTAGTTGCTGAGAAAACTGTTACGAAAATATTTTCCCTGCCCACCCGCTCGCCCACTGCCGGACATTCACCATACTATAACCTGGGTTTGCACCTGTGTCACCATAGTATAACCCGGGTTTGCACCTGTGCAACACGGCCAAAAATTTGCAATTTTCAACTTGCGTGGCATGTAGCTCAAAATAGTTTGACCTTTGATGAAACTTTTCGTGTTGGGCAGCATGTGTAGTTGTGCACCGTAGGGTTTCGTTGTGGATTGATGCAGTATTTGTAGAGTTAATGCCCCTTAGTGAAAATTTGCATTTTCAATTTGGGTCGCATGTAGCTCAAAAAGTATCTGACCTAGAGTCATGAAACTACAGAAATGTTGGTCAGCATCTGATGTTGTGCACCTTAGGTTTGGCATGTTGGACTAATTCAGTTCTGTTAAAGTTATTGCCCTTGACTCTGTAAATATTTGCAATTTTCAACTTCTGTCGTACATACTAGCCAAAAAAATTTGACCTAGAGTCATGAAACTTTAAAATAATGTTGCACAGCATTTGCAGTTGTGCACCTTTGCGGTTTCTTGTACATTTAATCAGAATTTGTATAGTAATTGCCCATGACAAAAAAAAATTCAAAATGTTGTGTCATGTGTACCTCTGAAAGTACTTATACTAGACCAACAGGCTGTGCACCTTGGGTTTTGGATTGGATTATTTCAGTTTTGTAAGAGTTATTGCCCTTGACTTACTATAAATTTGCAATTTTCAAATTGTGTGATGCGTACCTCAAAACTATTGACCTTAAGTCATGCAAGTATTCAGGAATGTTGGCCAGCAGGTGTATTTCAGAATACATGTATATGGTTGGGAAAAATCAGTATGTCAAATTTTGAATGTTGTTTTTGCTTAAGGATAGGGGGAATCATGTAGAATTTTCTTTTGTCTGTCCCTGTGTCACATTGCTGGCTTGGGGCACCTTTGTCCTATGGACACATTACTAGTTTTGGATATTTTCTAAACTAATAAAAAAGGGCATGCTGTCAACAGCTCTTGTTTATAAGTCTAATATGGTTATCACCACTGATTCTTGACATGAAAATTGTGTTTTACTTTAACTTTTAAAATGACCATTTGAATAGCAAATAATTCATGCATAACCTGCTTAACCGAGTGATTAGGCTTTGCCACTATTAGACAAAGGTCTATACTGTTTGTACCTCTTGATATTGAAGTCCCTTAATATTTAAATGGTTGATCCAAATTGAAAACAGACAACAGATTACACAAATTCAGTGGGTTGTCATCAAAATTAAAATACTGCTGATTATAAATATAATTTTATTTAAAATGTACAAAAGGAATGTTGTATGGTGACTGTACATTTACAATGATAACAAAATGGTTTACATTGCGTAAATACTGACATAACAAAACATCCTTTTGAACAAACTAATACAAACCAATAAAAAACAAAATATAATGTATATGTTCTATTATACATGTACATGAATAATCTTAACAACATGGGAAAAAACAATGATCACTTATTTCATATAAAATTTAGAGCAAGATATATTGCTGTTTATTCCTTAAATCATTTTAATTGATAAAATAAAATTCAAATTTAAAAAAAAGAGGAGTCCCATTTAAAAATATATAAAACATATTAGTTTTGGAATTTGGAATATTTATTAGCCTTTGGGTATGGCACAATTTTGCAAGAAAAGAACATTTAAGAATGAAGTACAGATGGGCTGGCTATCTCACTAACCTTAGAATAATAATAATATAATGTTGGTATGTCTTTTTTAAACAATAATTTAGTATTACACTCATTTCACAGTGTGCATTGTTTCAAGAAATGAAAGGAAATGTGGAGAAAATAGTGTGAAATTGGTAAACGTAAAATCTTTAAATGACATTTTTTATTATATTTTTGAAACTTTTAAACTATAACAACTTTTTTAAAACAGCTCAAATTTAACAAAACAAATTTGGTAGCTTTCATAAAAAGGAAAAATGCACACTTCATATAACTTGTACCTGTTGTAGGCTCTGAGTGTGACATCATATAGATCTGATCTTAATTCAATAAAATATTTTAATATGTAATTATGGTTAGTCTTTTTACTGAGCAATGTTCATAATCTCCTTATTACTCTCTAATTAAGATTGAAATGGTGTAGATAAAAATTATTTTGCTCTGACAAAAATAAATAGATTTTCTTTTATAGCAACATGTACATGTAGAAAAGAAATTTTATGTTATTCAATATTTGTTCATTCTTTCACATTTTTGTAACAAAAATACATAAACTGATAACTAAATTACAAAATTGGTCCAATCTCCTGTTAAAAAGGTTATATATCTATATGTCTTGAAAAATAGAAATATAAAAGAAAATATTCAAATAATGCCACTCCAATATTTGAACATCACAGTGGCCTGTTCATTAAATGCCCATTAGCCAGACTGTAAAAGTTGATAACACTTTTGTATTTATAAATGTGTATACTGCTGAATTGGATGATCTTAGGTTTTCAGGCAGATTGCCTTGTCCTCAGTAACATAGTAGATTGCACTATGTGAAGAATATGGTTTAAACATTTTATGATCTTGCCTATCCAAAAATTACAAGTATTTGAATAAAAGATATAAAGATGCAAGCACTTTCAATGACATTTGATCTCTGCTCAAAAGTTGAAAATAATCTGGAGAATTGCAACAACTCATGCAGCTACTAACATTCATGTAATATGTTATCTCTTTATGAATGAGTTATGTTTGATAGTCTGAACTACAAGTGCTGAACAGATGATGAGAAGGGTGCAAATATGGAAAGATTTTTGAGCTCATCACAAAAACACACACCAAAAACAGTTCTTACATAGAAATAATTAATTTTCATTTTCTTAGACCAACTGTATTTATATGCAACAAACTGCCAAATACACAACACTTGAAATTAAAATATAGAAGTTTCTCAAATACACAGAACAATGTAAGGATTTTGGTCTGAGAAAAGAGACAATGTGCCATATACATGTAGTAAGAAAATAAACCACCTGTGAAAAAAAAACACTCAAAATACACATGTCAAACCTTAATCTATTCAGAGACACTTTTACATGAATTAACTTCATACTTTTAAGCAATGATAATCATAATCACCTGAATAAAAAACTCAAAGATATTGATTTTAAATAGTTCCTAGCATACTATACTTAATTAATTTGAGCAGAAAAGAATCTGGCCACAACAAATTATCATTACCTTTCTTCACATACAGTTTTTCATAAAAACATACATACAAGTATACAGTTATACAGCCTTAAGTCTGAACTTACAGTGATGACATACCAATGGTATACTTAACAAGAGATAAAAACAAAATGTATATCTACATAAATCAA